GAGAGAATGAGTAACCTATATAGAAAAAGAGAGACAGAAAGGTAGATTTATTTAAACGTTTCTCAATCATCCACCCATCGGAGATAATAAATAACATTCGCTAGTTTTTTTTTGCATGTATTGAGTTAAGTTCGGAATAGAAATATATCAATAGTAACAATTTAAATATGGTAATTTTTGGGGATTGTTATACGTCCGCCAGCGTATTAAAAATATGGTTTTAGGGGTTAGAACTTTTAAGTTTCAAGAAAAAAAAACTCATGTTGTAATTTTTTTATTCGGAAGCTTCTGTTGTTTATTAATTTATAGACACTGGAAAATATAATAATAAAACATCCTACAGTTGACATACGTGTCCTCTTAAACTCGAAAAGAGCTAATTTATCTTAGAAGAGTACGTATTTTTGGTAAAATAGATATTTTTTATATTAAATATTTGACCGATCGATGTAATTCGTCAAGCAGAAACCGAGAAGAAAAGTGACGCTTGTGGTGTTTGCTGACAATCCGACCCTGCTTCGTGTACAAATGCAATGACATTTCGGCAGGGCTATAGGCTACGAAACCTTTCGAACTCGAAAAGGCGCTACTAATTTTGAATAGGTACTTAATATTGGGGTAAAAGTAATAGATAAGATTGTTTTACATTAAATATTTGACAGATCGATGTAACTCGTCAAGCGGAATCCGAGAAGAAAAATGACGGATGTGCTGTTTGCTGATAGTCCAGAACGGCTTCGTGTACAAATGCATGGCGGGGAGACCAGAAAGTTTTCGAAACTGCGTGAGTGGAAGTCTGCGTTGGACAAATTTTGAAAATATCTGAAGGTTTAACGAATTTTGGAGAATTCGACAGAGCTACAGACTACGAAACCTTTCGAAACGAACACACGTGTCCCGTTGAACTTGAAAAAGACGAAATTATTTTTAAAAAGGTATATTGTTGCTAAATAATAGATTTTTTTTTTAATTAAAATATTTGACAAATCATGGTAACTCGTGAAGCAACATCTCAGAATTGAATCAGGGAACGAGGAATCAAAAAAAGGTTAACAATTTGGATCATTTTGGAAGATACATACGCCGCGCTTTTCAAAGCGGACAGACGTGCCCGTGTCCAACTTGACAAAGGCGGAATTATTTTAGGAAAGGTATATTATTTGTAAAAAAATATACAATTTTTAAGTAACATATTTGACAGACCATGGCAACTAGTAAAGCAGAATCCAAGAATTCAATCGGCGGCTGTATGTTGACTGACAAGAATATAATTGCTGTTAATCCGGCCCTGCTTCTTGTACAAATGCATAGTGGGGAGACATGAACATTTTTCGAAATTGCGGCCCTATCCTCTTGGGACTGACCTGATTTTGTCCAGGGGGGCGTAGTACGGTAGCTTGTACTGTGATGTTTGGTAGTTTGGCAGTGAGCTCTCATTTATGAAACTGGGGAATGTTTCGTTATCTTCAAATCGTAAACACGTATCATTAGAATTATATTTTTAAAATATTGATTAGGACATGTACTAAGTAACTAAATGCTCTAGCGAAAATATTCACACATATTGCGGAAAACGTACAAATTTAAATTAGAGAAAATTAACTATTTTTAGAGGTTGGTTTTCAAAAAGGTGGGGATTTAGTTAAAGAACAGATAGAGACTAAAGGGAAGCTCTATGAGAAAAGTTAGAATTAAAAAATCGATGTTTTCGTGTCATAGCGAAAGATGGATTATTATTAAAAATAATACTTGCATTAATTGTTGTCACCATTTGTGAAAAATATGGAAAATATCCTCTAGGTTCGCATACCTTTTCTTAATTTTTTTAAGGTGGCTAACAAAATACACAGACAGAAAAGTTTAGATCCTGTTCGTTAATGTAGCGCATAGAAAAAATTAGAAAAGAGAACGTTTCGTGTATGGCATACGTAGTTAGTACGGAATATTAATCTGAAGGCTGCAAGACAGTGAAAGAGTGATGCGCTTAAGTGTGGTTCAGAGAGGTTATTTGGGCTGTAGAAGTTTTTCTTTGAACAGGGTTCAAATAGCGTCTCCTAGAGCGTTAGCAGAGAAGAGTATTACAGTATTTAATATAAGCGTCCAGATTTCATTATTGTTGAGATTGCATAGAAACACACTTTCATGTAGTAGTCGCAGCAGCTTTAAAGTATATGACTTTTTAGTTAAGATGCCTTTCGAGTTTGCTTTATGGCTTGATAGGAAATTAAAGGGTAGATACAGATAAGTTACGAAAAAAAGTATGTACACTATCCTCAAAGATCAGCAATAAATAAAAGAAATTGATGAAATAGTAAAGTTGACTGCGATATCTTAAAATCATCAATAAGATAGATAAATTAATTTTGAAAATATTAAATAATAAAAATAGCAAAGAAAATCAAAATCATCAATAAGATAGATAAATTAATTTTGTAAATATTAAATAATAAAAATAAAATTATAATAGCAAAGAAAGCCTACCACGGCCACATGCACATAATATTTTCGACATATGAACTTTTCCCAGATAAATAGTCAAATATCTCACGATACCTTAAAACAGAAGCATGCGGAAATATGTATGAAGTTAACGCACGGTAGATGGCTTAGTAAATTAAAAAGGTATATGCTTTCTAATATCCTACTTTATTAATGAAAATTTTAACCAGCTTTTTGTTTTGCAGATATTATTGGTGGTGCCTGCCAGCTTCCAGTTCCGAGAAAAGAAATCCAACACTTTTCGTCTTTATTTCCCCTGTCCTTTGTGCGCAATAAAAGTACAGTTTGTACCCGCGAGGGTACACATTCGCAGAATTATATGTTTTTAAAATAAATGTTTTGGTCAATATTCACTAGGTGGGGTTACCTTATTAAAGAAAATCTTATTCCAAGAGGGGACACTAGTTTACATTCGAACCGCTAGAGGGTGCAGATGGTCACGCGAACAATATGATCAAGTCTCATTGACGCCATTGCTTTTCATACGGGTGGGAAAATATCTGGGCTCTGATTGGCTTCGCCGCCATCGCAAACTAGAGGTGGGGAGATTGATTAAACCGCATTGGTGCTTGCTTATCCAATGGGGGCCAGTTTCAAGGGTTTATGGGTAAAGGCGGAGGAGCTAGAGAGTCGTGGGGAAGGAGGACACGCCCACAAAAGGGAGAGGAGTGGGGATGTCCCAAAGCATACATATCTCTACTACAATTTTGCTGTCCCAAAATCGAGAGCACTTTCTACTGCCACCATAACTCGAAGGACGAATGTCTAAATAGCTGACGAAGTTACCACATCGAACTACCACAACCTTTTACACAGCAACGCAACAAAAAGTACTTGTTTTACCCGTTAAAAATACGTTGGTATTTGCTAAATGTAACATCGAAATGCCAGTGATTCGCGAAATTACCGTGGGCAAGAAAAGTTACTTCAACGATGGTGAAATTATCAAAGCACTGCCTCTGCTTTTACCCGAACTTTGCATTAAAGACTTGAAACCAACTATATCTCATCCATTGTCGAACATCACTCAAATTAACTTGCAAGATCTATATCTATTAAAGGATTATAGCAAATCAACTACATCCGATTGAAGAAATTGATCAAAAGCTTCTACCAAGATGTCTTCAGACCAATCATAACTAATAGGGATATTCCGATACTAGTAACTACGAATAGGTACTCGATACTTTTGATTCGATACCAAGTATTTATAGCATCGAATCAATTTTGCGATACTTACTCGGTATCGAAACAAAAGTACTTGGTAACAAATCGAATCAGCCTCACTATTAAAAAAAACCGAACGCATCAGACAAACATAATCTCGATCTGATCTATGGTGACGCGTTGTCTCGCGAGAGCGAAGCCGAACTCGTCCGACTTCACTCGACCGAGCCCGAGCCAAAAGCGAGAAAGACGTCCGCCCTTCATTTTTTTTCATTGTCAAACATACAAAAGATTGCTTACGAATAATTTTATTTATTGTAATCATAGGCTTATTATTCCAATGTTATCATGGAGTTTTTTGTTTAAAGTACGTGCTTAACGTGACACAAACCTTTATTCTTCTCCTTCTTAATTTTGTTTTAATTATTGTCCTTCAACGTTCATTGTTAGTTTCCTTAAATTAATAAAAAAATAATAAAGTGCTAAAAGTATCGATATGAGTAAGAATCGATACTTTAGGAGTATTTATTTGAGTAGTATCGAAAAAAGATTTGAGTACTATCGAAATGAATAGGTATCGATACTTTAATGGTATCGGAACATCCCTACTAACTAACCAAAACCGTCCTTTCGACCTGATATATTAAATCAGGTGGAGCAAACTCATTCCATTAAGTTTGCTTCTTAAGGAGGGAGGAGTTACGTACGATCTATAACGTCAGCGTTTTCATGTACCTGTTGCTGCAGTAATTGTAATTTTCAAATTACATTTTGAAAATAAAGTTTAAAAAATGCCATCTCGTCGTAGCCTGAACATAATTAAGTCACTCATTCCAAAGAAATAATCACAAACGGCTAAAATAATAGAAAAGTTGAGACTTGTAAGGGATTTTTTATGAACAGAACTGCACATATGATGCTATATGAAGTAATTTAGCGCCATGGATTTTCTTGTTTTTCATTAATGGTATAGTTCAAAAGATTGGCAGTCAAATTTTGCTCTTTGCTGATGTTAAATTTTTTTTGCAGACAAATACATTACGAAAGAAAGATTGAGGCCTGCGTTATTATTTTATTTTAGGAAATGTTGATTGTAATTTTTAAGATTTTCGTAAATAATTGAAATTATCGGAGGAATAAATTCCATTCTTGTATCATCTTGATGACGCCCAGGATACGTAGGAGCTAATGCAAGAATAAGATAAGGGAAAACGAACCCCCGATGCGTTATCTAATCATATTGACATTTAATACCTATTTGCACTCTTGGTTTGGACAATATACAAATATCTTCTCAACAAAATAAACACATTAATTAAAATCATATACAAATTTATTGAACAGAACAATACTATATCAAAAGTCAATTAAATCAGTCAACAACAAAAACACTACAAAATTAGTTGGAACAGGCTTGAAAATTTGTTTCTTAACCTCAAATTTAGTTTGAAAAAATCCACTCAACATGAAAAAATTTTGCACATATTTGACCTTAGCACGAATGACAAAAAATACATATATTTGAAAATATTTTAAACACTCCTTGAACTTGAATGATAAGTTTTACATTTTATACAAAGCAATATTGACCCAAATAATTAATTAAACTACACACTTTGTATTACCAGATTACTATTACACATAGGGCATATAATGGATGTTTCAGCAGTATATGTTTCAAGTTTTGGTTTAGAAAATATTTCAGAGCATTTCATACATTGGAAACTGAGCAGACTGTTGGGATCTCTACTTTTCGGAATCTTCTCGTTTAATGTTTGGATAAATTTCTCGGCTTCTTCTAAAAAGTAAAGTCTTGCCTTCCGATCTCTTCTGACAGTATCAAAATTGATTTTTACCCCATAAGCTTTTTCTGATTTTTCACAATTAATAATTGTGTTCAAATGCCATCTGGCTTTTTCTTTGCTTGTATTTATGTCCCTTTCGGAAATGTGGGAATCAGTAACTACTATCATAATGTCGAAATCGCCAAGGTCTTCTTGAGTGGATGCAAAAAATATACCGCTTTCGCCACCCAGATAAACATCTTCACCGTCAGAAACATCAGATTCTTCTGATTCGTACTGTTTGTTAGAGAAAACATCAGAATATTCTTTGGCTGTTTCGAACTCTTTTTCTTCTTCTTTCAGTGTTTCTTCTGGGGCAGTAACGAATGCACCACTATCATTATCAAAACTAGATACAATATTTTTTTGAAGACATAATGAATCTAAACCAATATCAGAAGGTGTAGAGGATAACACTGTTGACTTTTCTAAGCCTAAAACATCCTGCACTAATAAACCAGAGTCTCGATATAACCAAGATTCTCCATATTCTTGCCTAAGTTGTTCCACTTGCTTTTTAATATGCAAATGAGTCGAAGATGATACGGGGGAGGCTTTAACTTGCCTTTTAATATTCCCATTCTCCTCTTCTATTTTCACATTCCGAATCCTTTTTTGTCTCTCATTCAAAGAATTTGTAAGTGAACCGAGAGATGAAGCATTAGCGATAAGAGAGCCCTGTGATGCGGGATACAAAGAACCTGCGAGTTTCCTTTCTAGTTTGTTTAGCTGAATACAGTTCAGAATAAATTTTGTAGTTACTGCGTTTTTGTGTAAATAATTGCATGTTAATTTTCTGTGATTAGGGTGGACATAAATTGGATTTTCCTGCAGATTTAACCACTGTAGAGAGGATAGATGAGACAAGCTTAAAAAAACGCCATGGTCTATAAGACAATTATGGGAAAAATCCATTTGAATAATATTCGTCAACGTCATTAAACCGGTTAAATCTTCAATAAAATTGTTGTTGAGAATCAATACCTGCAACAAAAAGGTTAAGTCAATGAAAAATGTAATGTGTCGCACTACCCTGGTATTCCAGGCTATATATAAACAGAAATTGCAATGTACAGGTTGTCCAATTTTTTATTAAAGAAGATATGGCAAACTACATACCTAATAACAATTTATTTCAATGCCATTTCAAGAAAAAAGGAATGCCATAACAGATTTTTGATTGCACAGAAAACAAAGCTCAAACATTTTTAAATTCAAGATGGATAACTTTAATTTTTTAATTTAATGATGTAGGCTTGTCAATATAGAACTTTACTCTGTATCCAGACCGTTTCCATTTCAAATTTGAAACATTCTGAGTATTACCAATCAAAATTGAAGTTCTGTAGAAATATCAATTGCTTTAATCACTTTTTATACATATAATTAATAACTGACAATAGCCGGAGGGTCGCCATCTTACTAATTACCGCTAGACAAATCTATATGGCGAGATATGTGGAGGAAAATGTCTGTCAAGTTTGATTTAATCCAAATTGAGAATTTACCATTTGCTGACTTATCAGCAATAAAAACATTGGTAAATTTTTGCATGTCAACATTTCAATTATCTTCTGGAGCTACATCCAATATTGGACAGCATGAACATGCAGAATATATGTATATAGCAAAAAGACAAATTTGTCAACACCTGGAATTCCACTGATATACTAATAGTAGAAAGCAAAGTACCTGCCTTATATTACGACAAATATCTCACCTGTAGTCTTGAACATATCTGACCTTTAAACATCGGCACCTTTTCTAGTTGATTGTAAGATATATTTAAATACTTCAAATTAGGTAAATTGCTAATCAGTTCAATATTTTTAATCTGGTTGTGACTTAAATCTAAAGTATCTAACCACGGAGTCAAATCCAAAGTGCTGTCCAATTTAGTAATGGAATTATAGGGAAAAGCAGCCTTTTTTAATTCACTCCAGAGATTACCGTGACTATTGTCACCTCCACATTTTCCAAGAACATCTTCTAACATTTCCAAACAGTGCGAACATATCAACTGTCTTAATTGTGATCTAAGCCTTTGTAATCCTATGACACTCTTGATGTCAATTTTCTGGATATCCAGTGCTTTGATATTTTTAAAACGAATTAAATTAACTTCACTGACACTAGACGTTAACACATCTGGAATTATTTTCAACGCGAGTGCACTTTTTACCAGCGTCCATAAAAATTGAATATCTCTGATGGGACTTGCTTTACTGCTATTCGGTTGTACCAAATTAAAAGAATTCAGATCCTCTGATATAATATCCTCAAAGGCAGAATTAAGTTTGCAGAGATAATTGGAAGATAAACAAAGTTTGCCAGTTCCATTTTGAATATCTTTACTCACTGGACGTAACAAATTTGCTACGTGTGTCCAATCAACATCACACATTGTTAATAATTACAAACTAACAAATAAATTTTAACCTTCATAACTTATGGTCCAAAATATTTACAATATCGACAGAATAAAACATGACTTTAATGCCTATAACAAAGGAATGTTAGGCGACAGTGCTAGGATTATTCGCCCATTTCCGTCCACCGATGAGGGTTTCTAAGATTTGGGTGACAGACCCACTATAGTTCTTTGACTTTTGCTGTTAATCACTATCACTAAATACAAAAGGTTTTTAAAACGGTATCAAAAAATAACTATCCCCACTACCGCCAAGAATTATCCGCGCAATCTGGCCTCCAACCGGCGCGAATAGCCAAAAAAAGTAGAGCTGTACAGTTTTACACTTAAAAAAACACTATTTGACTGATATCAAACGGTAGAACAGCAATAGTCTAATTATTACCGATATGTTGGTTAGAAAAGAAGGGGTCTCCCTCCCACTCGATTTCACAGGATGAACGTGAATTACCTGACGAAATGTAAACTAAAAAGATAAATGTAAAATGTAATGAAAATAAAATAATAAGAAAAGTAAGATTTTATTTAAAAATAATATCAAAAAATATTTCCACCCGAAATCCTTCTTTTACAAAAGATGCTCCTCACAGACTGAATAAACTAATAAAGTGTCAGATGAAAAAGAAAACTGTACTGAAGTTTGCAAATTTGGAAATAAACAGTTCATTCTTTTAAGATAATTTAATTTAATTTTGCATTCTACGGAACGAAAATGTATAGCCCCCAACCTCACAAATTTATTTATTTATTTTCTGAATTTGAAGCGCTTATAGCAAGGGAATTTGCAAGTACTATTTTTTTATGGTCTGTGAGTCTGGATCCCGAAGTTAAATAATGAATCAGTAACCACCATCTTCAGCTGACACATCAAAACCAAAAGTAACTAACGCTAGCCTAAAAGTTTGAGAAAATAGATGTAGTCATTTACATTTAATTTTACATGCCTCCGAAGGTACCGCACTTAAAAATTCCGGAGAAAAGTTCACCCGTCAGCCAGACGCTTTCATCCACGGGCATCCTCGGGTCCATGATACAGAGTTCGAAGCATTTGGGCCAAATATGAATGAAATGTTTGTAAGGTCGCTCCAATCAATTCTGTGGCTCCCATTGTAATTGTGATCATTGAATGAACGTATATATATAGATCAATCCTAGGGCTCCAACTTAAATATAGAACGCGATGTTTTTGTAAAAGGACGGTAAATAAAAAGAGCCTACTGCACCGTTTCCACCATTAGTAGCCCTAATTTTGAATTCTTCAAGTAAGAAAAGAAGTTATGAACATTAAATATAGTCTTGAATGTTCTTTTTTCCTTTTACTTTTGAGGCACTAAACTACCAAGATCATTCCGTGAATCATGTTTTGTATTTGGGGTTAATCACTTTTGTAAGACTTTTGAACATTTTTTAGGTTAAAGGAAGATGCAGTCCGCCACTAGGAAAATCGAATCGGGAGTCCAATTATTTTTAAGAGTAAACAGTCAAAATTCTAATAAAATTAGTGGTATATGTCCAGAACTTTTTCCAAATGGTGGACCTTATCCAAACGAAGTTGTTAAGTTAATTGTTGGCAAAGATGTGGATCCGTCTGACATTCTGGTAGATTTAATAGTTAGGTGCATTTTACCTACAAAATATGGCACTGACTGCAAAGGTGTAGAAGTAATCCTGATCAACACGGAGTTTCAAATTAAATTATTCAAAATTATTAAATTTATTGAAGAAACAATTAAATGCAGCCAAAGGGCAGAACAGACGAAAAATGTAATTGAAAATGCATTTAAAAGACTGTATATGTTAAATTGTTATACTTTAGATCAGTTAGAACTGTCATTTCATAAATTAGAAAAAATTATTAATAATTCTGAAAATGTTGGCCTAGTTGTTCTCGAGAATGCCATGACATTTTATTGGACTTCAAAATTTACTAAAAGCAAATTGAGTTATGATAAATACTTCTGCAACATTGTTGAAAAATTGTTTGACAAAATTAAAGATCTCAATGTTGTGCTGCTATGTGTTTGTAGAATAGATGAAGTAACTGAATTAGACAAAAAAAGTTCTACAATAATTTCTACCAGAATATTGGTTGAAAAAAAAAGTGATATTTTTTGGGGTAGCGTTAAACAATTTGACAATAATGATACTGCAATACTTGGGCCTTTTAAAGTGAATTGTGGTTTAAAGTTTTGCCATGAAACTGAATCTGGAATCAATAAAGTTATTTGATCTGCCGGTCCTTATTATTTCTATAATTTTATCTCTGCAGGAATGTTTGCATATCAAAAATCCGTAAAATATTGACTACTAGTATTTTCATTAAATAAAAAGATTTTATTCACGTTTATGGGTTTACCGTCAATATTTGCATTGAGTGTTCGTATTAAAAGTTCTGGAAAAATACCATAACAAACTTTTCCCAATATTGGTACACAACACCTAGGTGATAAGAAGTCAACAAATGTCAGCAATTAATCCAAATCCGTACGAAATTATAAATAGAAACAAAACAATGTTCATTCAAAAACCATTTAAAATACAGTGCAACAAATTTAATATTTTATTGCAATTGTAGGTCAATGCAATAGATGAAAATAATAATCTTTTACACTATCATTATCAATCGTACCTGACTGCGCCAGTTAACTTATTGATTACCCAAAACCGTTTTTAAGTGTACGTTTATCCAAAAATGTTTCATTTGCGATTGTCGCGCATTGTCTCTAAACTCATTGGACTAACTGCTCTATTCTGTAAAAGCACTTTTATTTTGGATGCAATTAGACGCCTCAAAACAGAACTGACGACGACTCCAGCTAACGAAAAAGGACTTACAAATTGGAACTCTGAATGACAGCTGAAATATAGCTGCGGTTAAAACCATAGAAAACCTCGAAAAAGCCGACATTATAGCAATACAAGAGATACATTGCACAGGCAATAGAAGCTAGAAAATCAGCAAATTTGTTGTGTTCTATGGTGGAAACCTTAATCAGCAACATGCACTTGGAACTGGCTTCGTGATACGGCAGAACTTGCTGGATTCTGTTATTTAATTTAAACGTATAAGTGAACGCATGTGCTACATGCGACTTAAGAGAAAGTTCTACAATATTTCCCTGCTGTCGATCAATGGCCCAATACAGAACTTGAAGAGAGTATATACTGTACTACCAAAGCAAAATAAAGAAAGAGGAAGCTCTTAGACTCACCATAACCAACCTAACAATCTTAACTGTGACTTAGGTCATTATCTGTCACCAATATGGGAATCAGTCATCCGAGACGGTGTTTATGCCCTTCTTTTAGCTCCGCCCCAATCAAATAATATATAAGAGGGTACAAAGTAAAATGCCAGCCAGTTTCAGTCAAGCTCGGAAGAAGCCAACAGGATGATTGGCGAAACGTCAGCAATTTCAACTCAGCAAAAACAGACGCAGGAGGAATCCTGAAGTATTTATAAACAGACGTGGGTTTTGAACGATGGTGTTACAAGAAACCAGATTGGCCACATTTTAATAGGTGCAAGACATGGTAGTAACATTATTGCGAGGTTTAGACGCAGACGGCTCCCGTTTCCCGGGCAGAGCGAAGCTACCTGCAAGAATTTCTTGCCAGAAAAATAAAAAGTTCAGGGCGAATACCTAGATGGAACATGGCTACCAGGAGGTTATAGAGACCACATTGACGCCCATACGGACTACAAATATAAAGAAAAAAGAGTCGTTTGATCGTGATTGTGTAAGAGAGCTGAAACTCAGGAACGTGACCTGTGATACTGCAAATGTCCAACAGAACAATTATTGAATAGGAAAGCAACACACATTAACAGAATATTCTTGAAGACAGGAGTTACATAGAAAGAATAAATGCTGTTAATAAAATAAAGCATACCATTACATGATTTCAAGAGGCTTATGGCAGTATAATGAGTGGAAATGTGGAATGCCACGGCAGACCTTGGGAAAACCTCAGTCTTCTTTGTAGCTAAGAGGATGCACTGTTGCCACTACTCTTTAACATGGGTCTTTAACTATCCAAATTAAGTTAGTCAAATTGGCAAGTTTGGTTAAACAGGCCGGCTTAAAAATCAGCAAAGACAAAATAAAATACAAGGGCAGAACCATGAGATAGAGTAACACTCTGAACTGTGGCCAGATAAACAGAATGGACCCTATGCAAGTTTAATCGCGGGTTTTGGTGTCTAAAATTGAATTCGTTCAAAGTACTTCCTTGTTGGTGAGAATGATTTGAATTCCCTCACGAACCCAGTAAACCGTACTTGTTCTCTAACATCTAAAATAAACTTAAGATGAACATAAAGCGTGTTGCCTCCATGTCGAGCAGGACAAAAAACATCGATATGATTAATACGTAAAAAGTTGTTGATCATTCCTTTTGTATATTAAAAAACTTAAAATTTCAAGAAGTTAATGTTTGGTAAAATGCATAAAGCCAGCACCTTTGTCATGAGGTATACAACGTCGGACGTTGTACCACTTTTTACTAGTACACCGATTCATTTAACTCTCAAATGTATTGAAAAAAGATGGTACACTATTAAAATGCAACACTTTCACTGCGTTGTTTTGTGGAAGGTGTTAAATTTTGCCTTACATCTGCATTTACAAGTATGAGCGAAGTAATCTCTTCAGTTATTGCTAATTTAGTTATGAAAGCACTTAAAAGTTAAAGAAAAAACCACCAAATAAATAATTTTCCCCAACGAATTCCGTTTATAAAACCGATTATATATACTCTGACATACAACCAGAAATAAGACTATTTAAATTGATTGGTACACGAAACCAATATAATGTTGAAAAAATAAAACAAGTTTTAAAACAAAATAAATATGCTGAACATTTTAATAATCCTATTAAAAAACAATTAAAAATTATTACATTTTCAACTAAGACAAGGTGTATCAGAAAATCTACAGAAAGTTCTTTTAAAAAATCAAATAAACACAATTTATACAATTAATTGTAAATTCAAAGTAATAATAGTATATTATGCAACAAGTGCGATAAACGGCATTTGATTCACGAGCTTATTTGGCACGAGCGGAGCAAGTGTTTAATGAACGAGTGACTTAAAAGCTTTATCAAACGCGTTGCGTACTATATTTTTCTGCAACCGTTAGTTTTTGGGTACATTTTTTCGAAACAACACGAATACATTCACTGACGAACGTCAAAATCAAAGCCGTGCGGTAAAATCTCCGAAAACATCCGATTGCTCCGAAATCCGTGCGGTAATATCCCGGAAATGTCCGAAGAGGCTCAGATCTGTGGGACGAAACTCACGTGTGGCAAAATCTCCGATTGCTCCCAAACCTCAGCAGTAATATAACGGAAATGTCTGAATGGACTCGGACCAGTGGGACAAGAAACTCACATGGCACGCTAGATTGGTAGGTAATCAGGTAGTTTATAGGAGGGAGTAGAAAAACAATATTTACAATAAAGGATTGATAAACATAAAAATGCTGTAAGAAATCAAAAATATAATTCATATAGACAACCAACCTACACTATTTTGATTTTGAAAATACGGAAATAATATTCACTGACAAAGATCACAAAAAAAGTATTTGACACTGATAACTTGTCAAAAATTTACTAACAGTTGATTTTGCCAAAATGTACACTTCTAAAATGCTTCACTAACTTCAATGCTGCGTGTTGGTCACGAGTTTATGTAGCCTTTGTCCATCGAGAAGCATCAACTCACATGCCTAGAAGTAGATTCAGCAACCTTGGGATGCATCGCTGTAAATACGGGACATTGCAATGACGTGCAAGCTTTTTGCCCTAAAGTCTTTAACCTGTTTAAGTTCATCAGATTCGGATTATATGTCACAAATGCGTCAGGTTTTGTTAGAAGTTTTCGTTGGGATTCTCGGTAGATGATGCTGTAATCGCAATAAAGGGGATTTAACGTATTTAGCACGAAATATAACGCCAAACCTTATGAAACCGACTTTAGTGATATGATATCTAACATATTTTTCCTACTCCCTACTTAAAAATACCCAATTATGCGCGAATTAGTTATAAACGAGCGTCTAAATAATTTTATAAAAGTCCTGCATACTATACTTAATACAGCCATTATTTTTTGGATACGTTATGGTAAAACGAGTAACGTGTGATGTAACAATCATAATTAATGTGAAAACACCACCAACCAGTGTTTTAAAACCACCCAAAACCCAATTTGTAACTGAAATCGGCTAGCAACATTCGTTATTGAAGCTGACATCTTAAAGGGACACTGTTTTATCGTATCACCAAAATATTTCTTTACAAATACCATAAATCGTTTTTTTTTTTGCGAGTTATAGCACTATGTACCGAGAATCCAAAAGAAATAATAAGATATGAGTGTTTTCATTTAAAATTTCAAAATCGCCCCCTCACCACCAGACGCGGTTTTTTTATTCGACAGGTTTTTTGAGCAATTGCGTAATTTTCCGGATATTCTATCGTATTACTTTTTGGACACCTGGCAGGTACAGGTAGCAGCGCTCACAGGCACTGTTTAAAATTTTGCAGAAATCCATAATAATTGACTTCATCTGATTACTGATCCTGTCTTGATAGTGTCATTTAAACATCCGAATTTTTTGAGAAACTTCTATTTTGAACAAGGCAGAAAAAAGCCTACCTAAATAGAGAATATTCTGTTCCCAATAGCTTCGACTCAACACATGTTTAATTTTAATGTTTTGAACGTAAGGCAGGACCACAGTGGCAAGTGCGAGGTTGCTTTCGGTCTTATTTCCTTTGGGAGGTTTTGGTGATCTGTATTGTGTACAGATTTTGTATTGATAAAGTATCAAAAGTTTTTAAAAATTGTAATGTTAAAAGATTTACCATTTGTAAAAAAATTTTTCAGCATATTCCATCCATCAAAGACAAAATTCCGTTTGAGACATCAAGAGTTTACCGCATTCCATGTATGTGGCAAATAGTACGTTAGAGAAACAGGACGAAAAATATCAACTAGTCTAAAAGTTGCCGAACATAATCATGAAATCAATTCTTATTCGACCAAACTATCGAACCGAACCATCCAAGAATTCATAGAAATCTCTAAACAACTAATTTTAACCGCGACTCAGGTTTTTCTTCTAATTTTGGTTCCATCTGCTAGAGGAAATTGGCTATCCGGACTTGATAACTACTCTGAACAGTTATTGGAGCATATTTTGGGCCTCTATGCTCTCTTATGTGGGCCAAATGTTCGAGTTTTTTCATTTTCAGCGTCCTTGTTATATGATGCTCTTTTCCCATTTGAGGCAAAAATTTGCAGTTACAGTATTTTCCGACGGTTAACATTTTTGAAACGCTTCCTACTTTCTTATAATTTTGTACAAAGAGACATCAGCAATTTCTGTTGATCAACAACCGACGCAGGAGAAATCCAGAAGATTTGTAAATAGTAACAAATTTTTTAATTTTTAATACATCGTGCCGGTTGGTTGTTGTTTACTAAATTAAGTAATATACGCATCACTCAGATGTGTACAATTTTATATTTCAAAAACGAATAACAATAAAAACATTGTACGAGTAAAGTCTCTATGTATCATCTTCACTACTAGACGATTTCGATTCTGTCGATTCCCTGTCCTCCCCTAAATCCTGTTTGGCCACATATCTATGTGAAAAAAAAAATAGGCACTTCAAAATTTTTATAAACTAACCGCTATATAACATTGAAAAAAAACTCACCAAAACTTACCTTACACGATCCAAGTGGATAATCAAAATCAACTCAAAAACAGATTTGGTCAAATGACATGCAAAACAAAACACTAACAATTTTCTAATATATCAGTAATTTACATTTTTTAAATAAAACACCACCCGTATAGTGTACCGATTCGACATTTTTATATAATTTCAAAGATTGCTGTGACTGACCGCGATTCTTATGTAGCTATTAGATAATATACTGGCACTACCCCGGTATAGCAGAATGCAACTATTAAGAGGCTAACTGCCCCCCACCCCCCCGTCTTTGTAGGATGAGAGTTCAGACTTTAAGCACTTGTCAATTTTTTCTGATCTGATACTTGGACTAGGGATACAGTAACAGTTGAGGAACAGCTAGTAATAACGGTTTTTGCGGCCAAAGACTAGTCTAATGTACTTATTTTGAGTTTATAAATAATCGTTAACATTAACTGTGGGGGGCAATAAAAAGACAATATCTAACAATAGGAATTTTATAATATTTTAATTTACAGTACTTGCACTTGAATGCTGTTTTACAGAAATTCAGGCTTATTTTTAAGAAATTCTGACGTATTTTTCAAACAAAAATCCTAATTATTCTAAAACCTATATTTTATTTTTGGTGGCCTTTCAGCACTTGCATATGAGACAATCGGGAACTATTATTAAATGCAAAAAATCATACAATTGCAGTTTACGAAAAATGTGTTAAACAAATAATTGTCACATATAGCAAGTATCTAATAGTTATTTAATAGTGTAACGCACCACCACTGCACCGATGCCATTATCTTAACCGCAACGCTTTAAGACGGCCGGACGCAAAAAACCCTTTGATCCCGCTCGGACCCCGGCACGTCACGACGAGTCGGATTCCGACACAGGAGTTGTTGTTCGACGGCGTTACGCGACGGACGCGAATTTTTTCCTTTTATCTCACGAATTGTTAAAGACACGCAATCTCAGTAAAATAGTAAGAAGTCTGTTCCGTGTTTTCGTGCTACCCACTTCACCCCGAGAGCACCTCGTTCTCTTACACTGGCGCTCCAACTTGTGGCTCGAAAGAGGTTAAATTTCCGAAATTTTACGTGAGTTTCACCGGTTTTCACGGATTTTTCGTAATCTGTTCAACTGGACATCGTGTTTTTTCAACGTTTTGTGAACTAAATAGTGTTTCTTGCTCCCGGTTGCCGATTAAGGACTAGAAATACGCAAGAATAATTACGTGTTCGCGCCGAATGCCAAAACTCGAAAATTTTGTTTCCATTGACTGAGTGAAGAACAAAAATAACTTTTATGGCTATTTCTTTCAAGATTTTGTGTCGACGCAAAGTAACGACGAAATAGTGCCACATTGAGTTCAGAAAGGTCTGGAAAACACACACACACACACACACACACACACACACACACACACACACACACACACACACACACACACACACACACACACACACACACACACACACACACACACACACACACACACACACACACACACACACACACACACACACACACACACACACACACACACACACACACACACACACACACACACACACACACACACACACACACACACACACACACACACACACACACACACACACACACACACACACACACACACACACACACACACACACACACACACACACACACACACACACACACACACACACACACACACACACACACACACACACACACACACACACACACACACACACACACACACACACACACACACACACACACACACACACACACACACACACACACACACACACACACACACACACACACACACACACACACACACACACACACACACACACACACACACACACACACACACACACACACACACACACACACACACACACACACACACACACACACACACACACACACACACACACACACACACACACACACACACACACACACACACACACACACACACACACACACACACACACACACACACACACACACACACACACACACACACACACACACACACACACACACACACACACACACACACACACACACACACACACACACACACACACACACACACACACACACACACACACACACACACACACACACACACACACACACACACACACACACACACACACACACACACACACACACACACACACACACACACACACACACACACACACACACACACACACACACACACACACACACACACACACACACACACACACACACACACACACACACACACACACACACACACACACACACACACACACACACACACACACACACACACACACACACACACACACACACACACACACACACACACACACACACACACACACACACACACACACACACACACACACACACACACACACACACACACACACACACACACACACACACACACACACACACACACACACACACACACACACACACACACACACACACACACACACACACACACACACACACACACACACACACACACACACACACACACACACACACACTTGCAAACAAGAGGAAAAGCTGTAAGTAGATTTGTTTCTATTTTACATTGCACGCTGTTAGCCACGGAAGATCAGTCATCGAATCGCTATTTCCTGCGATCTCGCGACCGTGCGGAAAATCAGCATTCTCAGTTAAAATCAGTGAAAATGACGGACGTAACGTTAAGTGACGCTCAGTTTCAAGAACTTTTGAACAGATTAGCCATAAATTCACAAATGCAAGTATCTAGTGCTCCGACATTGTCAGGAAACTTCTCGCAATGTTCATCTCGGTTCGACGGTTCGAAAGACTCTGACGTAAATGCTTTCATAGACGCGATTTCGATCTATAAAGACTGCGTACAAATTTCTGACGGAAACGCTTTGAAAGGACTTCCGATGTTGTTTGATGGTTTTGTCGCGAAGTGGTACCAAGGTGTAAAACACACAGTTTCTGATTGGGATGAAGCTTTAGGGTTACTAAGAACAACTTTTGGTTCTCAAAAACCACGACATCGTGTTTACCGCGAATTATTTGCAAAAGAACAAGATTCAACTACGCCGACCGACGTTTTCGTGTGCAAATCTCCTTCGATTTTAGCTCAGCTACCACCGAATACTTTAAGTGAAGATGTTCAACTCGACATGGTGTACGGATTGTTAAACAGAAAAATTCGGGAAAAGATTCCTCGAGATAAAATCGCAACATTCACTGACCTACTTAAACAAGCGCGGTTAGTTGAAGAAACTTTCGATCGTGAACTTGGTGACAATTTTAAGCGCGTTCGTTGCCAATATTGTAAAAATATCGGTCATTCAAAAGACGAGTGTCGCAAATTACAGTCAAAACATGTGAAAGAAAATGCTCCGTCAAAGCAAAACACGCAAACAATAACCGCATCTCAAAAGAGTTCGCAATCATCCACGTCAACAGCACCCATCACTGCAACTACCGCCATAACGTGTTACGGTTGTGGAAAGCCAGGATTTGTTCGATCAAAATGTCCGGAATGTAAGCCAGTGGAGACTGCCTCCGTTGATTTTTCGTCAGTAGACACATTGGGCAGGGAATTGTTGACACGGCAGCCAAACAAAGTGTTGCTGGTAGTACACTCTACAAGCTATTGCTGGAAAAAGGTCAACAGTTTTGCAAACAAGAAATTTCAGTAAAGCTAGCGGACGGACAAAGCAGGAAGACTCAAGTGCTCACAACGTCCGTAGATGTAGACTTGAACGGAAGAAGAGTTAAACTAAATTTACTATATTCCCCGAAGCAGACAATCGAACACTTTTCGAAATCGATTTTTTGAAAGACATGAAGCTTAGTTTTAATCTTCACAATGATGAATGGACTTTTGCCGATCAGCCAGAAGAAAAGTTCCCACTGGACTATGAGAGTTCATCACCACTGCTGTCAAACACGGTAATTGAAGCATCATTGTTGGAACATTTGCGATCAGACGAGGGAGTAATGTTGACAGATGAACAGAGAGGGCGCCTAAATCAACTCTTGACAGAACGAAAGGATACCTTCCGTTTGGGGGGAGAACCAACCCCTTACGCTCGACATTACATCAACACGGGAAACCATCCACCAATTGCCCTTCCACCCTACAGGATGTCGCCACAAAAGACGGAAATTCTGAAACAAGAATTGGACAGACTCTTAGCAGAAGGAATTATTGAAGAGTGCGAAAGCCCTTGGGCTGCACCCGTTGTTTTAGTACCGAAGAAAGATGGCGGTACACGTCTCTGTATTGATTACCAGAACGTATCCGCTTCCGGGAATCGACGACTTACTTCACGCCGCGTCACGTACTCTATATATGACGACGATTGACCTACGATCAGGTTATCATCAGATAAATGTTGACGAAAATGATCGATACAAGACAGCGTTCTCGTTACGCCTTTCGGGAATTTCAGGTATTGTCGCATGCCGTTTGGATTGAAAAATGCGCCTGGGACGTTTCCGCGCCTAATTGATCGTTTTCGAAACGGACTTGGAAAAGTAACGCTTCTCGCCTATCTTGATGATTTGATAATATTGTCGCCAACTTTTGAAGATCACATTAAAGACTTGAAGGTAGTCTTCGATAGACTTGACCAATTCAAACTCCGTGCAAATCGCAAGAAATGTGTGTCTTCGCGTGTACACAAGTCAGATACCTGGGACACCTACTCACACCAGACGGAATTTCCGTAGATCCAGAGAAAACTGCAGCGATGTCACAAAGACCTCCTCCACGTAATGTCAAAGAAGTCCAGTCATTCCTGCAAACCGCCAGTTGGTACAGACAATTCATCGAAAAGTTCGCCGAGATATCTCGACCATTAAGCAACTTGACGAAGAAACACGCTACTTGGCAGTGAACCGCAGAAGAACAGACTGCGTTCGAGACATTAAAACAGGCACTAGTATCTGCACCTGTGTTACAACAATGCGACGAAACCAAACCGTTCACAATCAGAACTGATGCCAGCAATTACGCTCTTGGAGCTGTACTCTTACAAGGTGAAGCTGCCGATGAACACCCAATCGAATACGCAAGCAGACTGCTCTCATCTGCCGAAAGGAACTACTCCACTTCAGAAAGGGAAGCTTTAGCAGTAGTATGGGCACTGAACAAATTTAGAGGCTACATAGAAGGCTTATCTATCGTAGTGCAAACCGATCATCAACCTTTGAGATGGTTACTCAATCTAAAGTCACCCACATGACGTCTAGCGCGGTGGGCTTTGCAAATTCAAGGTTATGACGTAAAGATTGAATATTTACCAGGCAAACGGAACGTGGTAGCAGATACCCTATCGCGACCGCCTTGCGCACATGATGAACAAAGGACTTGCGAAATCTGCATGGTAACGATCGAACTGCCGCATCTTAGCGCCGAAGAGATAAGAAAAGAGCAACTAAAAGGCCCGGAACTCGAAAAAATAATCAAGAGTTTCGGACCATTGCCCGAGGGACCACATGGAGAAAAGTGGACCTTCATAGTCGAAGACAACTCATCAAAGTGGGTTGAGTTATTTGCCTTAAAGAGAGCCACCGCCGAAGAATGCGTACGGACTCTCACCGACGAAGTATTTTTCCGGTATGATTTGCCTAGAAAAGTGATTAGCGATAACGGTGTACAGTTTGTGTCAGCCGTCATGCAACAAGTATGCTATATACTAGACATCAAGGAAACGCTTATACCACTGTACCACGCATCAGCAAATATGGTTGAAAGGAAAAACAGAGATTCAAACCAAGACTAGCAATGCTTGTTAAAGAAGACCATGGTTCATGGCCCGAGAAACTGGCGACGATCAGATTCGCTATGAACAGCGCATGGAATGAAACAACTAAGCAATCTGCTGCTTACCTCACCTTTGGGAGATAATTAAGGACCCTCGATGACATCAACAAAGATTTCCGCGTAATAGCAAATATGGACAATTTCGTACCACAGATCACCCCTTATCTTCAGAAAATTGCAAGGACATGGAACGAAGGTAAAGAAAGCCACGAAAAGCGCCAGGATCGACAGAAGCAGATGCTGATTCGAGAAGATCAAACCCGCCAACTTTTCAATTAAAGGATAGAGTTTGGGTTAAGACGCATGCATTGAGCAACACAGCCAAAGGAGTGACAGCCAAATTTTACCCGAAACGAGATGGCCCCTACGAAATAATCAGAGTTGTATCACCCACCAGTTATGAAGTTGCCAATCCAGACGACTTGAAAAAGACCCTTGGAGTGTATCATGTCTCCTCGTTAACTCCTGTAAATTCCGCTGAGGACGAGAAACCAGTCGTTAGTTTGAAGAGACGAGGACGACCACCAAAGAAGATATCTGGTTCCTCCTCGAGCCGAGTTCGAAACCAGGGGGGGAGAGTGTAACGAACCACCACTGCACCGATGCCATTATCTTAACCGCAACGCTTTAAGACGGCCGGACGCAAAAAACCCTTTGATCCCGCTCGGACCCCGGCACGTCACGACGAGTCGGATTCCGACACAGGAGTTGTTGTTCGACGGCGTTACGCGACGGACGCGAATTTTTTCCTTTTAACTCACGCAATTGTTAAAGACACGCAATCTCAGTAAAATAGTAAGAAGTCTGTTCCGTGTTTTCGTGCTACCCACTTCACCCCGAGAGCACCTCGTTCTCTTACACTGGCGCTCCAACTTGTGGCTCGAAAGAGGTTAAATTTCCGAAATTTTACGTGAGTTTCACCCGTTTTAGTTAGTTAGTTATTTTTGTAAAAAAATAAAAATCGACTATTTTTGCCAATATCTATAATAAAATATAAAGCATATTATGTAATTGTATTCAGAAAAAGGATAACTTATTATTGAGTCCCAATAAAATATACCGGGCGTTCCGTTTAAAAAATATATCAAATAGGCTGATATATCAGCAAATTGTTAATGATTTGTTTTATCGTCGTTTAGGAAAACTTGGTTGCTAACCCTACGTTTGTTTTTTAGTTAGTTTACATCCATAAATACATTTCACACATAGCGCTCAAAAAGTATATTTTTTGCTTTTGAAATGGTAAAACAGCTTTTGTATAATAATAATTAAATGGAAGTTGTGACTTCAATTGAATAAATTTAAGGAGTTAATTTTAGAAATTAATTTTTCTGTGCAGCGGTATTTTTGTTCCACTTATATATTTCCTCTCGCATACCAAAGAAACAACATTTTACCCAATGAATACTCACTTCTGACATAATTTTTCAATCTTTTCTTCACCTTCCAAAAGGTTTTTCCGAAGTGTGTTATCTAAGCTGGCATCTTTGATTGCCGGATCTTCTTTGTCTTCAATAAAACTCAGATGACAGTCGTACAGTTCAGCTTTCCTCCTCTTTTGCAAAATACTTCCCAATTCCTTGAAGCATTTTTGACCTAAAATGTTTTCAACCAGTTTTTAATTCGCTTTAATTCAACTTCAATAAAAACTAACTCTCCATTTTAATCTCCGACTCCGTCATATTGAGGTGTTTTTCCTCAACTACCGCTGTAATGAAGTTTTCGATTTCACAGTAACTAGGAAAACGCTTACTATTCTTAAACTCTCTGTTTATAGCCAAGTTAATTTCATTATAAGACGACGTGACAAAGTTGATTTTGTCATGAGTAAGGCGTCCACTATACGGATTTTTTTCAATATACTTGCAGTACTTAGCATACACCATGTTAAATCGCAGTTGATACCAGTTGATACCTGGCAAAAATAAATATGGGTAATACAATTAAAAACCGTCTCTTAATTGGAGAGATTATAAATTATTATTGAAGGGTAAAACTTAGTGGTCTTAACTATATTCCATAAACGTATTCTTGTGCCAAAGATGATTGTCAATGGTCCCGAAAATGCTTTAATGTTTAAATTTATTAGAATTATAGTCCCTTTCCGGTAATTGTTCGCAAAGTTCCTACTATGAAACATTATGGTCCCTTTCCGGTAATTGTTCGCAAAGTTCCTACTATGAAACATTATGGTATGGGGACGTTTTTCTCGCTCTGAAACTGGATCAATCATTCAAGTAAAGAGTAAAATGGACCAATTTCAATACCAAGAGATATTACAAAATGCGATGCTACTGTTTTCATACACGTTAAAGATAATTATACTTCAATGGTCATCCTAATCGATAGATTTAAACCTCGTTGAACACTTGAGATACCTTGGATCAACGTATTCTAATTAGAGTGGTCGCAGAAACTCTACAAAAATTTTATTGAAGGCGCTAAACCGTTTTAAAGCAAACTAAATAACAAACCATTTTTTTGCAAAATAATTTCCATAGAATAACAAAAGTTACCATACATATTTAAAGCTTTTCCCGAAATGTGCTCATGATATTAAAATATTTTTTTCCATCTCTGAAAATAAGGAGTGCAGTAGAACGGAAAGGTCTTATTTCTATTAGTTAAAAGTGATGTTTGAAATGACTCGGCGCATGTGCATATTGAATATCTATCCTGATAACTTCTGATGCTCAACTACTAAAATGTAGTGGCTAAATGGAATAATATTCAATAGATGTGAATATCTGTTCGTTTTAAAGAAATGTTTAGTAATTAACAGCAGCATGAAATTATTCGTAAATATTTGAAAATATATCATAACCACTTAGAACCCGTTATCAAATGATTTACCTAAGAAACCCAAACAGACAGAAAAAAATATCTTATTACAGTTATCTGCCATTAGTAATAAGGTACATTACAAGAATTAAACAATCCTAATTATCATCCGTTTCAGTCTAAATAAAATGGGTATTGAGTGCATTATCGCTTTCCATTCAGGCCACCGCTTTGAAAGCATATGGCAAAAGATCTCGTGCGAGAAAAATATACCGGAATATGAAATTAAAACACAATGATAATGCAAAGATTAAATTGTCAACAAGTATATGTTATTATCAGGCTATGCCATTTGTTTTAGTGACCGTTTTGAAGTTGGCTTATCGAAATTCTTTGACTAAAATCCATCTCCAGACATGCCCTGGTTGACACATTAACAAAAGATTATGACTAGAGTGAAGAAATGATTTCTAAATTTCTAGACTGGCCTCCAGAGGGCGAATTCGCATTTTTGAATTTTAAACAATATTTTTTGAGAAATAATCTTATATTACAGAGAATTGAAATGCAAACATTTTTGCAAATAAATATGAATAACTTTAGAATGGCAGAATACATTTTGTCAAACTACGAGTAGTTGAAAATGGCGTACTTTTCTGAAACCATTAACCCTACATCACTACAAATAAAATGTATCTTCTCAACAGAATTAAATGCAGAAAAATTTTTGGGAAACCTTCCAGAAACTTACAAATTATTTCCATAATTTTCTTTTGACCAATATAGCTACAATTTTTTTCACCCCAAGTCTTTACGACAATTACTTTTCCTGATAGGATCATGTCCTTAATTGGCCACCAGGTATTGCTGCAATATCCTTAATATCCTACTACTATATAGCAGCAGTTGTAATTTTATCTAACATTTTTTTTTTTAATTTATCAACATGTTTTCATACGTTTACTAGCCTAGGCAGTCCCGCTTTTCTGTCTCTACTTTTAATCAAAGTTAAACCGCATATTTAACACTAAAATTATGTGAATAATAGAGCATATTGAATGTTTACCTTAAAAATTTTGTACACACCACAAAGGAATCAAGTTTAGTTGGTGCTGAGTGCCTCATACTTTTACAAACTATTTAAGTAAAAACTTAAAAGTTTACTCACTTGTGCAATTGTAAATAACTCGAATCATCCTCATCATCCCAACTGACTTCAGCTTCTTCTAACGTCTTTATCTTTGCTGACAACAATTTTAAAGTTCGTTGCAGTTTTTTAAGTTTAGGTAACAGCTCTGGTTTGACCTCAATTGGCCTGCCCACTATCAGCTTCAAGTGTTCATACATTTTGTGGAAATTTATAACTGCAGCAGAAGCCGAAGGGTTTTGGGTTTTTGCTATACAATCGCTCAAAATATTCTTGAAAGATTTATGTGTAACAGCTGAACCACATTTGTTAAAGTGCCTTTTTATCAGGTGTAGCTTTTTAGGTATAATATCTTCAAACTGGGAGTTTTTCACAGATTTTTCTACCAATTCCAAAAACTTTTTAAAATCTTCCTTTGTCTCTAAATAATCAGATTTGCTTTTTGATATACTATTTACAGGATTGTAATTGGTGGGGTCATTTTTTGTGTCATTTGGAGAATTCTCAGTTTCTTTTTCATCATCTGTATCATTAATTAAAATACTGGATTTTTCTATGCCATTTTCACCTAAAAAAATGGTTTAGATTAATAAAAACTGTGGTTTGTACAATCACTTACATATAATATAGTCTACCCCACTAAGACAATGTAATCCTTACTAGGAAAGTTTTCCTTTTTACCGACGTTTATATCACTATCCTCACTCGATAGGCCAACAACTGCATCAAGAACCTTATTGTGCTTTTTATTTTCCAATTCATTACTGAAAACCAAGGAACCATTGTCAATCACTTTTTTACATTCAACTTCATCATCTATCAAGTCAACAATTTCATCTCCTTGAAACGATTTATTTGGTTGCCGCCCAGAAATTATTTTCCGCAAAATTTCGTCTTCGCATTCAAGATTATCATCGGAGTCCAGAAGGACAGTGGCATCATCATTTTTTTCTGTGAACTTACTTGCATTTTTATTAAAAACTCTGGTTAAAGTACATTCGGGTAAGATGGGAGCAAGTTTTATTTGCTAAAATTTTATTGGTCAACAATAATCAACAAGCTTATTATTTTCTTCACCTTTTTGGGAGCATCTAAAGTGTCTTCTTCCTCTGAAGAACTTAAGAGTATAACCTCAGACATAATTTTTCATGCAATCAAAATTTATTTAAAAGTTACTAATTTCAGTTCCTAAATACACAAGCCACTGTAGCCACCGTAGCTGATACCCAGTACAAAATTCTATACACAGGTTATATAAATTAATAATATTTATGTATTTGAAAACAGGTAACCGTGACTAACACTCAGAGCGACTGTAGCCCGCACGATAGCTGTAGATTGCACAATGGTAGACTATTCTTCCCATAGATCACTGAAGTACCACTTTATGAATATAAACAGTTGTAGGAACACGGAGAACAGAAAACAAAACAAACTCCGTACAATAATATACAGTGGCAGGCAAGACACAAGACAAAAGATGTATCTCCAGAAACACCTTTACGCACGAGGAACTTCAGTCAGTCACAGAAAACAAAAAATATGTAAAGCAAAACGGCAGAGGTAACGCTATATTGATACAATAACTATTTTCCTAAGATCTAGACTTTGCCAACCTTCGTTTACGACGTTCAATCTATAATTACATGACAAAAAATCCTTCTCTACTTCCGAAATACGTCAAATTCGAGCAGGTGGATGTGTTCGCAAGGCATGGAATGTAATCGCCCTTGATCTGGCTTAAGCGCCAACGGCAGTTATGCCCGAGGCTATGGCCAGCACTACCAGGATAGTTAGGCCAGTTACAGGTAGTTATTGTTGATAATTAATTATAATGGCCTCAACTACATAAGGTAATTCGGTCAGCTTACAGAAACAGGTAAATATAGACAAAAATTTCAAAAGAATGCAATCGCATACAAAAAGTATGTACTATTTTATTATCCTATTAACGTATTCATACAGTGGGATAAACTTCTAAGTAATTATCCCACTGCGTCAGTTTTTGCTTAGTCGAAATTGCTGACGTTTCGCTAATCATCCTGTTGGCTTCTTCAGAGCTTGACTGAAATTGGCTCGTATTTTACTCTGTACCTGCTTATATATTCTTGGGGGGGGGGGCTAATGAGGGGTATGAACACCGTCTCGGATGACTGATTTCCAACTTGGGGACAGGTAGAGACCTGAGGCGCGAATAAAATACGAGCCAGTTTCAGTCAAGCTCTGAAGAGGCCAACAGGATGATTTTCGAAACGTCAGCAATTTCGACTAAGCAAAAATCGACGCAGAAGGAATCCAGAAGTTTTGTAAAAAGCATTACAGTAGCCTGTGGAAGTTTCTTTGAAAAATTTCTAAGAAATTATTTAAAAAAATGACGACTGATCCATCCAACTGAGCAATACACCGTACAAATTAATAGACAACCACACAAAATAGCACTAATTCGCAAAACTATAGGCACTACGCCTCTAACAATTCAATTAAAAGATGTACGGAACAAATTTGTTTCAAACAACACAAATTTTTCAACCGACTTCTAACTTTTTTGGAACCGGACTGGAACAAATGTCCGCCGTGTGCAATGGTTCCCGAAAATTAAAACATACAAATTATTTAGTCTTCTGTGCCCTGCTGGGAGCATAGCGAACAATTTGTTTTCTATGTTTGACAACGAGTACGCCACAGACTATCCCAGACGTAATATTATAAATATTCTTGTTTTTTTATTACATTTTTTTAAATCAATTTTTAAAAAAGTTTTCATTCGCCACCTAACTCAATATTTCAACAAAAAATTAGCAAAGACCGTAATTTTAAGTGTCAACCTTATGTCACCAATCAAAAGGTCCACGAACCAAACTTCAAAAACATTAACGAAGATGTTACGTCATGTATCTTGTTTCCTACTTCATTGGCCAACAGTTTTTGTGGTATTGTAAATTCATTTGTTATGTTGTAAGTGCTGTTGTCCTTATTATGACGTAGTCGTCATCTTTTCTAATATTTATTATTTCTGCCTAGTTACTATTTCCTTATAAATGATAATCAGACTGGTTAGTATAAGAAATTCGTATTTGTGGCGCCATCTAACCTTGCGGCAGAAACAAATTGTCCATTCTGTAGTTTTCTATGTTTAGGCAGAAGCCGCTAAAGAGTGTTGAATCCAATAAGTTTTTCCATGTATCTGTAGTTACCTGTTATAAAAATATACGCAAGCAAGCGCTTGCGTATGCTAAGCTAACGGCATGAGCCGTATTTTGTTCTTTTTCAAATAAAAGTGCCCAAAACGTCCAATATCATGAATTGCTTTATTGCCACATAATCTATTAAGGAACACCATTTGAATTAAGCAATGGCAATAACTTTGCCTATTAATTGCTTCAAACGACATATAGGGAATTTGTATTGCGTTTACGCGTTTTACACTTTCGAAATTTTGCAGGGTAATGTTTAAATTTCAATTTCTGGATTCCAGTTGCTAAGAAGGATGATATGCAAGCATATAGATGTGTCTGATAATACGTGAGAATAGCTGATGGATTGCCTATTTTTGGAATGGCTCCAAAGGTTGGCTTTAGACCATAGTTAGCTAGCTGTTTTGCCAGCGAGAAACTTGGTTCGTCGTGTTCATAATTTAGCCTTTGCTAGTGTTTTTACGACCCAGATAATAACTTGAGTTTGCATAAGAAACATCCATAATCCCAACACTAGAAACGAGAGAAAAGTGAATGTTTATTGGAAGTGCTGAATAAAATCCAATATATACTAATTACATCAATTTGTGTATTCTCTAAAACCAATCTCTCTTACATTTAAAGCTAATTTAGGTTGCATATTTAAAAATATTTTTTTTTAAACAAATTGTTTATTGCTCTATAAAAGTTTTTAAATTTCGTTGATATATATTTTGCAATATCTAGGTTAAACTACGGTTAAATCTATAAGTTTATGAAAACAAAGGCTTTGTGCTCATTTAGAATACAGGCAGAAATTCGGGATAAAATAGCTGGTAACTTTATCTGCTAAATTTCTTACAACTTGGAAGTAGACACGGAATGTTTATATGAAAAAATATGCGGGAACACATGTAAAAATGGCAACGTGTCTACTGGGCTGAATTGCGACATGCTTGTGTTTTGGAACCAGAGAAAAACGAGTTGAAGTTGGAACGGGCAAAGATCCGTGAACCCGACTTTCTGTGTTTATGAATCTTGGGAACGAGGTTCTTGTAATGAATAGATCTGTGGTTGTACCATGTCGTGTTTGTTGTATTAGTACATATCCATGATATTTATATTGTTTTACGTCAATTTAAATTATAATTTTGTTTGTAACTTACATAAAATTAACTCCATGGAGTTTTCTGCATTCTGTAGGAGTCTTTTTTTAGTTTGCTCCAGATAAATAATCTAGTGTGATTCCTTATATTTTGCATCTGTTTGTTTTCCTCTTCCTCCTCATTTTGTTGAGGTATTCCTGTTTATTTTATTGAAATGTAAATTGAGTTTAGATTGTTGGTAAATATGTCTGGCGATCCCCTTGCTTATCAGCAAAAAAGGAATTCTCAACACAGTAATTCAGGTAACCAATAGTTATTTCAATAAAAAGGAGTAAGAGTACAGCCGTTCTAAATTTTCAGATGAAGAAGATGACGCAGAAAAGAATTCATGCATAAGTTATAAAGAACGAAGACGAGAAGCACATACACAAGCTGAACAAAAAAGAAGGGATGCAATTAAGAAAGGTTATGATACTCTCCAAGAACTTGTGCCAACTTGTCAACAAACTGATATTTCAGGTATAGTTCAATAATATTGGAAAAACTAAAAAATGAATTAAAGTTGAATAAATAATGTAGTTCTTACTTAACCCAGTATTCTGCGTTAAAATAACAACAAATTTTGAGATTTTGCTAAAACTAAACTTGAATTATCTCTCTTTTTTAAGGGTATAAATTAAGTAAGGCAACAGTACTTCAAAAGTCTATTGATTATATTCAGTACTTGCAACAGCAAAGGAAGAAACAGGAAGAGGAAAGAAACACTTTGAGGAAAGAAGTAATAGCCCTTCGAATTATGCAGACCAATATTGAACAGATAGTGAAAGCTCAACAATCTCAACCCGGCCATACCGAAACACCAGTTTCTGATGAAATTAAGTTTTCTGTGGTAAGACTGAATAATTTGTTGTAATAATTTATTGAAACAATTTTCTTAAAACTATGATTTTGTAAGTATAGTTTATTGCACACTGGGCATATATAATGAAATCTTCAGCTACTGTGAGGTATCTCAATTTTAATAAAAAATGTACTTCCTTTAACCTATAGTTAATTTCAGGGAATCAAAGAAACACTGGACAGCAAAAATACATCTACCTAATTTTAGAGTTTTACCTAAAATTGACATATTTTATATGGATGAGAACATTTTCATTTTGCACTAACTTTTTTCTCACTTCACAAAAGTTGTTGTGCATTAATGAAATGTACTATTAGTGAAAGATATAAACTATACTCTAAAACTAAATAAAACTTTTGTGGGTTTTGAAAATACAATCAATTGGGTTAACTTTTAAAATACTACTCCCAATTTGTGTAATAAAAGCTATATTTATGAAATGATTCAGAATTAAATCCCAAACCCAATAAAAGTGCTAAATGTTGCATTTAAAAAAATTGTTTTTTTTTTAATAGAAAAAACATTTTTCTCATGATCATTTGTGTGTATAATATATTTTCGCCCTAGATAGGTCAAAGACCTGTTTTTCCGCAAAACAATGGAAAAGTTCAATTTTCTCAAAAACTGTTCAATATTTCGTTAACTCGCTATGTAAAATATTTATAGCAATCCATTAAAAAAAAATGGTGGTTACTTCCTGATACAAGGGGCCACCTAAATAAATCCTAAATCCTAATGTCTACATTGAAAATTAACAATAAAAATAAATGATAAATAATTTATATATCCATAAAAATAATAGTATAAATAAAATATATACTTCAGATAAGCACACATCTTAAATGGACCACCCTCTACATTGTTTTGCCTATGTTTATAGTTTGTATATTTATTTGGAGAATTATAGCGGCTCTGCAAGTCTATTCATGAATTTTAAAATCTTTTTTACTTATTCATTATATGTTCCATAACTACTTCGTGTTCAGTTTAGCACCATCCCAGCTATATATAGATATAACTTACAAGTTAAAAGAAGATGCATAAGTTTGCTCCTGTTTTCTTTGAGATCTTTTCTGATAGAAAATTGCTGCCAATGCTGCCAATTATTTTGACAAACAAATATGTTAGGTAGATATTGTATAGCACAGTCTCTTCCCAATGTTTTAAGTTAAATTGAAAGTCAATGAATTAAATTATTACTACTAAAAGGCAGACAGTAATAAGTTAAACTATAATTATCAAAATATTGTGTTGACAAATTTTTGTCATTTAAAAAAATGAAATACTATCGTAATTACCCTCTTATGTGCCCAATTGTAATTGAAGTTTTGTACATTTTTTGTTTTACCCTAAATTAAAAAAAAAACATATTGTTGGTCTGCAAAATGTCATTTGTGACAAAATGTAAAATATCCTAGAGAGGATATATCTAAAATATTCAGAATTTTCCTAGGAATTCAAAACGCAACAATATATAGGGTGTTCTACTTAAAAAAGAAATTTTTAGCTCGGTTGTCGGAAAAGTGGAACCGTGGAATACTGTTGTGTACGTAGGTTCCAGTGGCGTAGTCAGTTTTCCTCCAACACAAATTGTTATTTATAAATTTAAGTTTTTTCAAAGAAACTTCCACAGGCTACTGTAATACTTTTTACAAAACTTCTGGATTCCTCCTGCATCGGTTTTCGCTGAGTCGAAATTGCTGACGTTTCGCCAATCATCCTGTTTTCTTCTTCAGAGCTTATATATAAACTGAGTTTCAGTCAAGCTCTGAAGAAGCCAATAGGATGATTGGAGAAACGTCATCAATTTCGACTCACCAAAAATCGACGCAGGAGGAATCCAGAAATTTTGTAAAAAGTGCTGAAATATTATTTACAAATCTTTTGAATTCATCCTACGTCGGTTGTCTATAAATCAAACTTGCTGACGTTTCGATTCTTCAGACATTATTTATTATTTGAACATTGATTGTATGGTTGCTTATAGATTTTTATGGATTCTCGGCTTTTCAGATATATATAATGCAGGTAACATATAGATTTAAAGTTTTATTATTTAATAGTTTCAGGCTATAATGGACCAATTGTTTGCGACATTCAGCACAGTGTCAGTTAGCAACTTTTCAGAACTATCAGCTGGTGTTTTTACTTGGCTGGAAGAATATTGCAAACCCCAAACTCTGAAAGACACTGTCTTCCAAGTCTTACATCGACATAACATTCAGATGAGGGGATCATAAATGTTTCTCCCTTTAATAAGTAGTTATATTAGTTTGTAGACGCAATAGTTATTTTATAACTTGTATATAAAAAATGATGTGCCAACTTGTCTTTTATTTTAATGCCTCCTTTAAACGGGCAACCAATTGTATTATATTATAGCTTTATGACGAACTGTAATATTATATAATTATAGTGATGCGTAAAAACAAACTTTCCTATATTAATGTTGTTTGTTTCAATTAAATTATTATATGTTGCAACTTACCCTTATATGAACTTTATTTATTTTTTTTTTGTTGACGAATCTCCAGCCGAGTGTTGGCGCATGTTTTTTGAAGCACTCTGCATAATTACAGAATCAGACACTATTTGCCTTCTTACTCTGGTAGTTGTAAATATTTATACATAATATTTTTAAAAATTCTTTTCACTGATATCCAAAATCAATATTATCAAATAAAAAATGAAAGAAAACATAACTAATGGTATATTTTTTAGTAACATATAATTATATTTTTAGACTTTGATAAGGGATACTCACTGGAAATGTTTGAAAAATTTAACAATGAGCAAATAAAATTATTTCTAGTATCACACAATATACATTTCACCAGATTCGTAAAAAAATCAATGTAATAAGGTTTTTCGGTATATCTTTCGTAATGGTCCAATAGATCCTGCAATTTCAATGTTAGGCTATCATAATTTTTCTTTACGATATCAAGTATTTGTTCTTCAGATGGGGTCGACAAATTTGCAGAAGCTAGCCACTGCTCTATCTTGGGATTAAAATGCTTAATTATTGCTCGAACGTTATACAAAACGTTGTTTAGTTTTAATGCATCCTCCTTGAAGTCTCCTTCACCCATCGAATATCTCAGTGCTACAACAATAAAAGTATAAATAACAATTTGGACACAATTGTTTGTGACTTACCCATTGAATAGACATTGTCAAAAACTTGATGAACTCTAATTATTTCATAATACAGCTCATCGTAACTACCTGGAGTGGGCAAAAAATTGTCCCCATAGGTTATGAAAAAATTTAAAATATTCACGGCTTTGATGCTTAAATGGAATATATTCATTTTCTTGCCCAAATAATTTTCATTCTGTAAAATGAACCTCAACAGTGATATAAGGGCCGCCCACAGCTCTTTCCAAGCATAATTAACTCGGATCCTACATTTTTTCTGATAGCATAGAATTCTTTGTATTATTCCAAAGCAGAGAACATAAAGTTCCATTGGAAATTTTTTCATCATATGACTCAACATGAATTCTACTAACAGATCTGAAATAATAATCTTAATGCAAAACTTGCCTTCTAGAATTTCAAAACAATTTTTACGTCTTTACCGCGGAAAATATTATTTGTCCATACGCATGGAAAATTGGGATTAAAAATTAGGAATGCCAACCTGAGTATTTAAGACAAATTCCATGAGCACTTAATTACCTAGTTATACCTGACCTATATACAATACTCCAGCTCCTCGTTTATTCGGAAAACCCTATGTTCAGTAGTGCAAAAACAGGCAACTTTATTTTAAAATAGCTACATAATTTTTAAAAAATGTGTTTCACTTTTTTTAGATTAGAATTAATATTTTTATTCAACACGGTAATTTGTGGTCTTGCTGAAGAATTTTGTCAAAAAAATTGGTTTACGACAAATAAAACCCGTATTTTTCTTCGGCAATTTTTCGTATTCATATCCTTCCTTCCTTGAATAATAATTAATATTTTGAGAAAACAAATCCCCAGAAATTTTGGATAATAAAAATACTTTTTTGAATATATCAAGATCTTAGAATAAGTTTTTTGCAACCACGCAACATTTTTCTATTTTGAATACAAATTTAACAATAATTATTTCATTTTGCCGTACTTATGAAATATCATTCCCATAAATTGCCTAAGAAATCAAAGATAATAAAAAATAATTCGGGAATTTTAAACAGCTTTGGATTTGCTTTTTTTTTATTTGGGTTCTTCGTATTTGTTGTCATTAAACCTTTAAGGAAAATGGATTTCCATGTTTGCACTTCAAAATAGTGGAATATAAGTAAAAATTGCTGTCAGGTGGAAGAAACTGATTAACAAAATGCAATGAGTAATGCTTATGGAAAAACGAGTCACTACATTAAGAAAGGAGTGTCGGTTAAAATCGGCATTTATATTAATTTTTATATAGGGAAAAGTATATCAAAGTCCCAACCTGTATTAATAATATCTCAAACGTGGAGTTCTTAACTCAAAACCTCGTCAAAATTACTGACGTTACAAATAATTATCGCCATTTTGTTATTTTTTCATTTACACAAAAGTCAAGAAATTATTTTGTAAAGTAAAGGGGTGCTGACCGCCATCCAAATATCACAGTTCCGCCCTGTTTGCAGTTGCAGCGCCTGTATTCGTGACTGTATTTTTCCAAAAGGAATGTTAGTCTGTACTCTAAGTTATTTGAGGAAACCATTTTAATTTTTGTAATGTGTAATTTTGTATTTTTTTAACTTCTTAGTTAAATTACTTTGACCTTGTTTTCTTGTAAAAATTTTTATTTATGAAAAGTTAGATTGATCAGAAGTTTAAAGGAAAAAAAAAGTTATGAGATTAGTGTATATCCTCTTGACTTTGGACAGCGATTATCAAAATAACCTACTGATAGCAATAAAACACCTGAGCAATCGCTATTGTAGCATTTAAATTCCATTTTACACTGTTTTGTTCTTCTAACTTCCTATTCAGTTTATCCAATGTAGGAAAAATTTGACCTTGTTAAAGGCCACATATTCCCCTCCTATTACATCTTCTTCACTACTGTGAGATCACTAGGCAGTTTCTATTATAGCTTCTTCAGAATTTGTAACAATAGTTGTGAGTCTTAATTACCTTTCGGAGGAGGCTTTGTGAATAGCCGAGATGATATACTTTCAGATATCTCTAATATGTATTCTAGGATAATTAGATTTGGTTTTGGACTATATTTTCACGGATAAGAGACGCTTGTTTTGATGTAAGTAAGTTGGTTGTAGAAATGTTTATTCTTCTTAAAAAGGAGATGATAGGTAGATTTATAATTAAAAAAATAATAAATGTTTGAAACCTTGGACATTCTGCTACCAACAAATTGGTATCTAGTCAAACGTTGGTAACACTGAACATCTATAAAAATAAATTATGGACTTAATTTCAGGCCACTATGAAAAAACTTAAAACCATTATTTTAATAAGAATCTACAATGATTCTGATGATGATGATAATCCCCATGGCCAGTGTCAGTGCCCAGTATTGCAACAATTGATTAGTTTAATTTCAAACTCACCGAGTAAAGTGCACACCAAAGGTTGACTTAGAGTAGTTTTATCATTAGACATCTTCCGGTGCCTCATTGGCAGTCTATGTAACTTGACTTTAAAAGCCAAATTCACATCATGCATTAATGAATTAGCATATTGGTCCTCGGATATGCATTCTAGTATTAAAAAACATAACTTTACTGTGTTTATGCTAGTTTCAGTCTTGGTATCTTGCATTACTATGGAACTGAAAAAAAAAATGTCACATCGGAATCTTCAGATACTTTGTTTATTAATTTATAGCCAAAGCCAATTTAGAACTAATTATCAGGGCAGGAGAATTTTATTTGAAACTATGAGACTATTTGCCTATAGGTAAATTGAGAACTTACTTCTATGAAGGCAAACGAGGCTATTTTTAAATATAATATAAAGAAATTTGCAAACAATCTAAGTAATAATTTGGACGGTTAATTCTGCCTGACATATTTTTAAATCGTCCAATCTGACCTGTATACGCAAATGGTATAGTTTCAAAGATCCCATGCACAGGTTCTTCATTATATTTTGATAAATTATACTTCCAAGTGCTAAGTAGGACATAGACAAAAAATTTAGTAATACTTAGTGATGTAGTAACCATTTCTTATATCCACTGGTTAACTGGCTGTTGACTAAATCAAATTATTTATTCTCTTAAATTGCTTCGATTACAACACAAACAATTTTTATAAACAAATTATTCTTGGTTATATTTCTAATAAGTCCCTATTTTTAAAAAAATAATGCTTTTAGACATCAAGAATGTTGGACATTATATTTTGTAATGCTATTTTATAGATTCAGATTAAGTTTGATATTTACTTTAAGTGACATCTTACCAGTATTGGAAAAAGGTGACAAGTAAATTGGAAGGCTGCAAGTTCACATCAAAAGTCGGTATATTTGGTAGATCTGACAGTGTCTGAGTGGTATTGTGTAAAGTATTGTTGGGAGATGGTGGACTACTGGTATCGGTTTGGGTTTGTGCTAAAGTTGTTATGAAATTTCGATTCAAATGTACTGCTTCATAAAATGCTAAAAGTAAAGAATTATTGGCTCTAAAACAGGATATAATGAGATATTTTCAATTTGAATCATTTCAGACAACTGACCTTACTTGTTGATTCCTATATCCACCTTCTTCAGATATAAACATGCTTCCAACTATATTTGTTAATGAGGAAAACCAGGACTGGTTTTGGTTCTCCATATGTTCCATGTTAAATTGGTTACAAAACTCAGTAAGAGAAGCAGTTATCACTTGTCCATATCCATTTAGTGTCAATTCATCATCCAGAAGTGATAATTTTATAAGATAGGGATTTGCACCATCATATTTCTGATAGTTTACTAGCAAAGTAATAATTAGAACTACATCATAGCCATGTTTCTGTCTTGTTGGCACATCTGAGAGAAGGTCTACTAAATGGTTAAATAGAGATGAAACCAGAATACAATCTAACACAATATTTTGATTAATATTGTCAAATCCAACAATTAAAATTATTATAGGCTTTAACACAAGTCCTTTTACAGATTCCGGAAAATCCCCTAAAAGCAGAAAAATCCTTGTTATCTCATCAAATAGCCTAAAAATGTTTTCAAAGTGGGGCCTCATTTTTTGCAAAGAAAACAAACAAAAAAGTATGTACATCTTCACTTGCAATAACATATCATGAAAATTTCATAATCTAGTAAGGTAAAACTTACCTTCGAGACATTCAAGACAAAACCTTAATAGTGCCTGAATCTTTTTTATGAAATCATCAAAACTACATGACAAAAATTCCGTTGGGTCAAATTGAAATTCTGCTGCTTTCTTGAATATAGCATGCAGTAGGGCAGACAATGTAATCAAACCATAAGCAGCGCGAATATTTTGTTGCTGCAAAATATCAATGCAATGACTGAACAAATCATTCAGGTTCTTTCTTGCAATTTGTAACTGTTCTAAATTCATTTTTTGTATTTCATTATCAATATTGACCACTTTGGGTTTCAAAAGAAAAAATTCATCCCAAAACAAAATATTGCTTTGGTCAATATCTTCTCCCCTCAATATAGTCTCGTAAATTTGAACAACTTTTTCCTTAAACTGTCTTTTGGTACTAGAGCCGCTACCGCTTCTTTTTCTACCAGACATTGTTGTTTTTTAAGCTGGTATGATAAAACAACATAATCTTAAACCACCAAAATCACGCTCCCCAATTCATTTTTGGCCACAGCATACAAAAATAGAAGTAGCTTATTTTTATTTCAAACACAATTTCATTAAAGTTAGGTTAGTTTATAGGGGTCATTCGCCCATTTTAAATAACTTATGGTATTTACCAAGACTTGCAAACATGAAATTATAACTTCCAACCAAATATTATATGAACAACTAGTTTAAAGTACGTAAGCTACGTTAATTGGGTTAATTGATTAATTTTACCTTGTAATTGAGATACATTTTTAAAACTACCACTTCAATTTCCATGATTAGTTAATCTTAATTGTATATTGCCTATGCTTGAATTCAATCGAATGAGATTATCTATGTGGGCATATGTAGGTAATGGATGAATGGCCCTTAGATCGTGTCCAACGTTTAGTGCAGTTAGAGGAAGGTACTCTTCTTTATTCATTGGGTTTATGTTCTCTGATACTTAAAAATTTTGGTGGTTATGTTTCAAACAGTTAAATGTTTAAAATTTTGCTGTTTTGATATTTAGTAACAACGAAGTAATATTATTTTAATATGTCTTTCAATTTTGGAAATGTGTCCCAACCGGCATTTGGAACCTCGCCTGCGAAACGTAAGTTTTATTATTAACCAATTTTATAATTTAATATAATCCAAATGATCAAATATAATGAGATATTTTTTAATAAATACATAATAAAAGTACATTTGTAGTACCTAAAGGTAAACGACTTTAACCTGGGTACACTGTTTACTAAACGTGATATAATCCAAATGATCAAATATAATGAGATATTTTTTAATAAATACATAATAAAGCTACATTTGTAGTACCTAAAGGTAAACGACATTAACCTGGGAACACTGTTTACTAAACGTGTACCTAATCTTACAAACACCCAGCGAGAGTTTATTCAATAACCAGGAAAACTATGTAAATAAATAAATAGAAGCAAATAGAATCAATATTAGGAATTACTCGAATATAACTATTGTTAGTGGAAATTAGGCGCTGCTTTAATGTTCCCTTGTAAAATAAAGAAGTTTAGCCGGCCATAAAATAAAGTTTTTGCAGAACTCTAGACTTTGCAACTGATATGTTGGTATTGGACTTGATGTGAGAGTTGTAGAAACTTTACCCTTTTCCCAGAAAAACACTCAACTACTAATGGGGAAGATGTTACATTTTATAAAATATGGTGGCTCCAGACTTAATCTTTTCTAACAAAAATGGCTTTTGCAGCCCGTTATAATATACATACATAAATATTTCCTATACAGAATCTTTTATAATTCCATACATTGTAGAAAAAGACCCATTTAACAAGTTTTGTTGGTAATTTGGACATTTTAGAATGGCAAATTCCTTGCTAAAGGAGGTACATAAAAACTAACACAGAAACTAAGTGTCTGGAGGTCAGATTTCAGTTGATATCTAACTATTAGTTTTGTTAAATTAGTTAAATCTAAACCTGTACAAGATACCCATGTGCGCCATTAAGTATTTCATGAAAATTGAGCTCCAGGCACGAATATTAGTGTTCATCTATCTCCCATAGAAAGGGGAATTTCCTTTTCAAAGTGTGTTTGTTTGCATTCAAACATTTACCTTTGACGCCGCTTTTATGTTCAATGTTTAAGGTTTCTCGGCTTCATATTGTAGCTGTTGGAGTGTCTCAAGGCTCAGTATTAGGATAGAGCTAGAAAGCAGTCACTATATCGATTTAATTGTTTGAGGTATTTTGTAATCTGAAATAATGAAAACACAAAAAATATGAGATTATTTCCAGTAGCAGTAAAATATTTTCAAAGGTAGGAAAGCCTGTTTAGATAATGTCAGAAATTGTGAGTGTGATTAAAAGAAATTAAAGGAAGCTGACAACTGCAAACAACATTTTTCAAATATTTGGGTAGCAAATGGCATTGCATTGGATTTTTGGATTTGTGATAGAATTTGCTTTAGATTAGATCCTTATAACTGCATTCCTGGTGATTATGTAACAGTAATATTAATGAAAATTAATTTAGTTGGACAGCTTTATATTTAAATAGGGCGACCTTTATTACCGACTTCTATGCAATTGTAAGCTCAGACAACGGATTCTCCATTATAACTGTTATCCCCCTCTAACTTTTTAATTTTACATTTTAGAAAAAAAAGGTTTAATACAAAAGTTGTAGGGTTTCATGTGTAGATTTAATATTACATATTTATTTATATACAGAGTGTGCTAAAAACAGTATTTCAAAGTTATATTAATTTAAAAATATATAATATTATTTCTAAAAAATGAAAGATCATTTTACGCTGACTTTAAAAATATAGGACCAAAATTAGACAAAAATTAAATCCTCACTTAGTTGGCCTATGCATATTCATCTATTTATTATAAAAACTTGAAAGGATTATATTACAACTTCAAAGCGCCACTCATTTATTCATGGTACTGACATAAATATATCAAATAAAAATATGAAATAAATTTGAGTTCAATGGCCAATATCAAATGTCTGATCAGTAGAGTTTTCCAATCAGCCCTGGAATTCCCTAGCCAAAATTAACTCACAAGCGAGATAATCGCAAAAATAGAGTTAATATATTGCTACTAAGTGAGGTTTTTTCAATAGGGTCCCAAAAATTTTTAAAATTCGCAAAATTTGGGAAAAAGCAGTATTTTGTCTTTAAAGACGTGATTTTGTGGGGTTAAAAAAAGAGAAAAAATGGCCAAAAATCGCAAAATTTGGGCTTATATAGGATTATCTAATAGGATGATGAAAATCTATACAAAAAAAACCGTTAAAAAATTGAAAATTTGAAGGTAAATTCTATAGTAATGGGCGTGGTCTCACATAGATAATTCCATCAAAATTAGCTTATCAGGCACCACATTTCCATTAGTTTTACATTTAATGGTATTTTACATTACATTGAATGGTATACCTAGTTTTTACAGACTCATAAGTTTGAACAAAATAAAAAGAGCCAATCTGAAAATTTGCCCAAAGGGAAAATTCCTTTGAAAGATTTTTAGAAGATAATTTTTATAATTTGATGTAGAAATTTTATGCAGTTATACAGTTATGTGCGGGCAGATTATGCAAAAAAGTGTCAAATAATGGTTAAGTTTAAATTATGACGACATATTATATTAATTAAAATGTGTATATTTATTGATCCTTATGATCAGATTAATAGAAAATTTCTTAAAAAAAGAAAAACAGGAAACATAAAAACAATTGAGGGTATAACATATAACCTTATTAGATGATATGATATATGTGCACTATTTCATCAACTCCATGTTCGTAAACGGTACTCAGATGACATACTTTCAATATGATTCACTGACGTTTCATAATTTTCAAGGTAGGTGCCGCTCGAGTCATATAAATTGAAATTCTAAAATTCATTAAATTTTAAACACAAAAGTCATTGAACCGGAATTCAGTGTTTACTTATACTTAAAACATTAACCAAAAAATTGTCATTTTTTTAGTTTGACCATTCGAGGTAAAGTCTATTCATAGATATAAGAAAGTGACTAACTGATACGAATTAAGAAAAGACCCGGGCAAGCTGTAAGAATGAAATATGGTCGAACAGGTCCGTACTTTGCTTAGAATTTAATTATTTCGGGTTTTGTTAGGAAAGATACTAAACAATATTATTTATTTATGTATGTATGTATGTATTTATGTTCAAATCTAAAATAAAATTAGAAATTATTTTTATTACCTACTTAAATTACTTCAAATTATTCATATAATATATCAGTATCACTATCGCTATCATCGCCTGTTCTAATTATTATTTCTTCTATATTATTTGCAATATGGATATACGATTGTTCTGCTTTTTCTATATGTGGAGGGATGTTAAAAACTTCGGTTTCTATAAGTTTGAGGACATTAGAGTTAACAATATTGAAAAATATTGTTACGACGAATATCAGATTTCAGTTGGTGCCAAACATGTTCAATGGGATTAAATAGGCAGTGGTAAGGTGGAAGCCAATGGGATTAAATAGGCAGTGGTAAGGTGGAAGCCTTAAAACTGTATGCCCTAGATTTTTTGCATAATTATCACAGACGTATTCCTTTTGTAGGTTCAAGCTTTGTAGAACCTCAGTTAATTGCTTTTTGGTATAATCTTCGTGAAAATAAATGTCGTTATTATATATGTCGTTTTGGATTGTTGCTTTTGTGTCACATGAGGAAGGGGTTTTACTGAACTGTCTACTGTGATAACTTGCATTGTCCATTACAATGACGCTATTAGGAGGAACGTTTGGAACTAATTTGTTTTTAAATCAACTTTCATATAAATCAGAGGTGGTGTCTTCATGGTAATCCAGAGAAGAATGTTTAATATTTTTCGCAGACAGAGAAAGTCTATTTCGAATCCCACCATCTTTAGAGCCAGCATGCAAAATAGTTATTCTTTTACCTCTTTTTGATGGCGCGTTTGTTTTACACTTATCAGCTGAGTCAACCCATCCCTTTTCCGGGGTATCATAAGTGTCCAAGTAAATAATTGGCCTTTGTTGTTCTCTGTAAATCCTAATTTTTTCTAGATATTCCAGTCGCCATTTCTGAATTCTAAAAGATTCCATTAAAACTTGCCTTTTGTTATTTTTTTAAATCTAAAGCTGCCACATTTAACACCGGTGTTATTTTTTTCAAGCCTCCTAATTAAGATATCTAATGTAGGCACGCTTTGTTCCTCGTATAACTGGTAAATTTTACGCCGTATTATATCTTGATCACTTTCATCTACACTCGAGAAAATGTCAGCATAGCTTCTTTTATTCATCGCTGAAATGGGATTATTCACAATTTTCCATACAGTTGATGTTGGAATTTTCGTCAATGTGGCCGTTTCTTCTAAAGATGCTTGCTTGCTGGCACCACGTTCAATGAGGGTCAAATAAACATTGTTTATAACTTCCTTAATCTCAATAGAATAGTGTTTTCTACATTTGGGCGGGAGCATCTCCTGAGATACACTAGACTCGCACATATTTTGCATAATTCGCACACGATTCAACACACGTTGTATTACACACGAAATAAGAATGATTACTAATAAACTTAAATTAAGTAGTATACCAAACCAAAGAATATGAAACACAGGTAGGTATAAAATTATTTTCTATTACGGATCACAATTTTACCTCAATTTAAATTCCGAAACTTTAGGGAATAATCTGGTTCACTTTCTTATATCTATGAACAGACTATAATAGTTTAAATTTATTGCGACGACAAAAATTAAGAATTTATACATAAATTTTAGAAATGTACTGACATTTAGCTGAGATATATTGTAGGTTCTCTCTGAATGACAAATTGTATTATATAAAAAATATGATAAAATACGTTTATGATCATCTAATTAATATAAAAAATTTATTATTAGATTATTAATTAATAACCAGTGAGAAAAAACAATAGAAATAGGTAGAGGACATATATAAAACATGTTTAGAATTTCATACAATCTCAAAATGTAATAGTATACAGGGTGTTCCATTTAATATATAAGTTAATAGCAACTTCGGGTTAAATCGCACGTGACAGGAAGTTGAAAATATTAAAAATATATATACTTGGCACTTACCTTAAGCAAAAAAAATTGAAACGCGTTTCTAAATTACAAGTCATTAAACTTTTAATGAACAATTTATGAAAAATTTCATAAATTTTAAATAGGACCACAAAAATTTAAATATGTATTTATTTATTTCTCGTTATGTTACAAAATATTCCCATTTAATGTAATAATTTCACCTTATTTATTATTCCAATATTTGTAAAATATTCCCCACCCAAAGCAAACCAAAAATTTTCCCGTTACCCATGTTGCACTTAATATCAGTATCTTATCAGTATTCTTAAGGTAAAATATTTTTCTGGTTTTGGTGGTGTTCTGCATTGTTTAAATTTTTTCCAAATTGAGACACGTTGTAGTCGCCGCTGTTGCGATGTATCGCGTTTCCGTTGCGCTTTTTCTTCCACACAATTCCCCCGACCATCAAACCAACTAGTATCATTACTATAAGGATGGAAACGATATGGATAGAGGAAAAGCCACCGTTAGGTTTTCCAGCTGCTTCTTTTTTTAACAGTTCTTGGGTAGTGGCGTTGATTTTTTGGGCGATATTATTCAACGGCGTTGCGTTGCTTTCTGTATCAGTGGCATTCACTTCTTGGAAGAAATTGATTGTCTCGCCAGCCGAATCTTGTATAATCTCCACAAGCAAGTTACCGTGTGATTTATTCACTGGAACCTCGAACGTGGCTACGTACGGATTATCCCCGTCGTATTCATCCAATGCCGTCGAATCAGCCTGTTGATCTTTTATGCTGTCTATAAGTTGGGCCACTACATTCTGGATATTAGTTTGATTATCTTCAATGTCGTCGTCGTCCTCATAGGGCACCTGAAAATCTCTTATATTAAATGGTTCACCGTCGTCGACTCTTATGCCCGGTTTGGTAATGTTGGCCGTTGTTTGGTTTATCCCTGGTACCTAAAAAATATTTATTTCTCATTGTACATTTCTATCCAACATACTGGTGATAAGTATCAAATAATAACAAATTATTTTATCGTAAAAAAAATGTACCGGGCGGCCCGTTTAAGAGGGGCCTATACCTTATCTCTAAACCTACGGGGGTTACAAAAAAAATTAAACACAAAAGTTGTTTCTAATAAAATGACCTTTATTTTTTTATTTTGTATATACAGGTGGTGGTAAAACAAAGTTACATTTAAAAAAAAAAATAGAACACTCTACATTTTATTGCACTTTTGAAATAGTCCATTCAAAGACAAATTCAACGATATGTATGAGTACGGGTTTGTGATGCACCGTTTCGAACTTATTAGCGATCGTATTCAGAATTCGGGTTATGATTAAACCATCAATGTTGGTTGCTTATTAACTTTTTGAACATTATTTTTACGAAAATGATGCTTTTCTATATATATATATATATATATATATATATATATATATATATATATATATATATATATATATATATATATATATATATATTATTGGATTTTCGAATAGCCACTTTAATAGTAATTTCAATTATATAACATAGTTTTGGCTTAATAGGCAGACAAAATTAAAAACTGGTTATAAGATTTAAATTATTAAGATATGAAACGGAATTAGCTCCTTATCAAATTGTTCACAACCGTTTTAGAGCATTGTTAAGAAGTCATCTATCTAAACTAACCAAAACTATTAATTCATATTACTTACAAGAAAAATTAATTAAATTAGTTTTTCAATATGCCCGCCGTTTTGAAAAATACCCCTTAAAAAAAGTCCATCGGGGTCAAATCTGGACTCCTCGCAGGCCAGCAGATGGTTCATTTTTGTCCAATCCGCTCTGAAATTTCGATGGTAAGGAGCGCCACCTTGCTGCGAAATTAAATTTGGATGCTCTCTTTGGGGAATGTTATTATTTATAAGTGGACGAATTTCGTTCCTTAATAAATTTAAATATCGTACGGATGTTAAATTTTGTGCGTAAAATATCGGCCCTAAAATTCTAGATCTACAGATTGCGCACCATATTTTCGCGGATCTTCTCCTTCTCCTCCTTGTTTACTTCAAAAACATATTTTTTATTTTCTGAGCTTCAATAATGCTTAGTTTTTCTATTAAATAACACCGCAGACGTTGTAAATATTCATCGGTCCAGTTTTGTTGCTTATTAACTTTTTTCCATCTCTTATTTTTATGAAAATAATGTTTTTCTTTAGGCCATGATCAAAATTGAAACATTTTCTTAAAATACGCGATGTTGCCACGTTTTGCAGAATGATACTTAATTTTCGAATAGCCACTTTAATAGCAATTTCAATTATATGACTTGATTGGCAATTATTTTCGAATAATACATACATTCTTTTACATTCATAATTTAAGAATCTTGTAAATAAGGTCCTTAAATGGAAAAAACAAAATTATATTTTTAATAATATATAGAAACCTGCCTATTGAAAGACACAAACACAAGATTGGTGAGATTATTAATTTGGACCTTTTTGAAGTATTCATCACAGTAGCTTTGAAAACACTAGTAGTTCTCTGTTGTGGTAATATTACTGATTTTTTGACAGCTATCAGTGTATTATAATATTTTAAGAGTATTTTTTCTGACTTCCACTATTTTCTATTTATTTATTAAGTTGCATTTTTGTCGAGTCTAATTTAATTAATTATTAATTAAATTAATTAATTAATTAAATTATTAATTAATTAAATTATTAATTAATTAATTTAATCTAATTTGTATATTGTATGCGAAGGAGGAAAAAGTTGACTTATTAGAATGTTACATCGGCGATAACAAAAGTTGCTTGCTCTCAAACAATATAGAGTCAAATTTCTCCATAGGCGATTGCCAGGAAAAAAATATTTGCTAAAGTATATCAGCAGTTTCGAGCAAATGGTAGTGTTGTAGTGGAAAAAAAGTAATAGCCGAACGTGTTTCGATGAAAATATGCAGCTAGATATTCTTCTGCATTTTGAATATACTCCAGAGACCTCCACCCGCCTTGCCGCTTCAGATGTTCAAACATGTTATTTAAATTCACACCAGTTCAAAAACTCCAAGAAGCAGATTTTAACTTAAGAATTTTGCAATATAATGATGGATAGGCATTTTTTGGATAACATATTTCAAAATATAAATTGGACCGATGAATATTTACAAAATCTGCGTTGTTATTTAATAGAGGAAATACGCATTGATGGAGTTCAGAAAATAAAAAATGTGTTGTTTGAAAAACTAATTAATTTTAAATTACTTGTAAGTAATATGCATTAGTAGTTAGTACTAATCTTAGAAATTAGTAAGCTTAATATTCTGTTTTTAATATGACTTCTTAACAATGCATCACAGAGCCATACTCTTATATATCATTGAATTTGTCTTTAAAAGGACGATTCAAAAATGCAATAAAATGTAGGGCGTTCTATTTAAAAAAAATGTGACTTTGTTTTACTTCCATGTATGTAAAAGATTATCGATTAGGAAAATAAAAAATAAAAAGGTCATTTTAATAGAAACATCTTTTGTATTTAAAATTTTTTTGTAACCCCCGTAGGTTTCCAGATAAGGTATAAACGGGCCACCCTGTACACCCGACTATATGAGACCATCCGTCGGGCGTTTATTATAGTTATAGAGCAAGAGTAAGCTTTCTTCGATCTAGATTAATTTTGAGTTTATTAGTGTTTCTTATTATTGGGTTTATACTATGTATATCTGGAACACATTCATTTAAAAATCAGGTATTGGATTTCAAGAAATAGTAAATGTCGATATCAAATTCTTTTTTTAAATGGAACATCATTGCGTAATGATGTAGCCTGAGAAAAAGGTTAAAAAACAAATTTAATTTTGAAAGAAACAGGGGAGTACTTAGTAAATCATATACATATACTCTAGGAAAAGAAAGCGTGTATCGGAAACCGTTTATAAAACCTAAAAAATTCTTGAAAGAAAAGACGCCCAAGATTTCCCTCCATAAACTTTTATTCTTTATAATTTTCATATTCAAAAAAACTGAAAAATGGGATATAACTAAAAGACACAGCTAAAACTTTTGTATTTAAGGTTTTCACCTGTTGTACAGGGTATTCAAGATATTAAGTGTTATATTCAGCTATCGACTTTACATTTGGCAGAAGGGTAGAAGTCCACACCCGCATTTTATCTGTTGAAAAAGGACTTACTCAAATCTCGCAAAGTATCTTTTAAAAATTTTTTGAAAAATTTTTTTGGCATATTTTGACTTGCAGAAAAAAATTATTTTCTCGAAAGCTATTAACCCGATCGGCAAAATTTGTGAACCAGTAAATGCGAGAGATCCGAGACCATAACCTTTATTTCAGGCATTTTTTCCATTATATGGTTTTTCAATTATAGACAAAAATGTAAAAGACCATGAAAATCGTTCTTTTCGCTATTAAATTATTAGCCTTAAATCAAAATTCGTGAAAAATATAGTATAGAGAGCTACAATTTTTTGTTTTAAGGTTTTAATATGATATGTAAGAAATGCGTTATGTATTCTAAGTTTCCAGATATTGACTTCAAATTTAGCAGAGAAGTAAAAGTCCTTATCCACATTTAAACAGTAGAAATTGGGTGCAATCAATTTTTTTTTTTGGTTATTTTGGCTTCCAGAAAAACATGTTTTTTTCCATAACCATTCACCCGATCGGCAAAATTCTTTAACCATCAGACGCGAAAGATCCAGTGCATTTATGTTTGTGCGTTTTTTTCGATTATGTACAGGGTTTTTAAATTATATGGCTTATTTTTGTATTTCTGCTTTTCATCTAGGACACACGCTGCTCGAGATATTTGAAAAAATCCATATGAAAATCACTATACCTCGGGTTCAGTGAAGACGCGATGCCGTCATTGATTATCAAGGCGCACTGCATAGTTTCAGAAAAAACTTATTTTCTAGAAAACCATTTACTTTATTGGTAAAATTCTTGGACCACAAAAAAAATATCCAAAATTTTTTCAATTATGTACAGGGTGTGTCGATTATGGGCAAAAAATCTAAGTCTCCGAAAATTGCCGTTTTCGTGGGTAAATTATTAGCCGTAAATGAAAAACTATAAAACATAACATAATTTGGTTTAAGCAGTATCGTAAATTGTGTCGAGAGAGTGTCTCAGGTTTCGTCTAATACACAGAGTGCGCGCGATCAATTGTTATTTATCATGGTTTGCCGTAACTTTAAAGTTTCGAGAGACTTAAAAGACATTTTATACATCGATTTTGCGAAAGTTCCATAGTGGTCCGCAGGAGCACGATAGAAAAACAATGCGTTCCTTTTTTAACAAGAAACCGCAAAGCGGCTTCTTTTTGAAATACATAGCTGTTTCGCGCCACGTGCTACGAACTTGCCTCGACTAGCGACGCTTTTTCGAAAGCAATGTTGTTTAGTTTATGCAATTTTAACTATTCTGGAGTCAGCCATGCAATTGACGTGGTCGTCCCATTCTACTTTTCGTTTTAATATCCAGTCGTTTATGTAATTTTCCGTAATACTTTCATTTCCGTTGCCTCCATCATCTGCTTAGTTTTGGTTAGGCTGGATAAATGATTGTAATAATATTTGCAGGTCGTTTTCTTTTTCTGCCAATACAGTGTCGTCGACATAGAATTTTAATCTCGCGGTCCCTTTCTGTACTCCCCTTATTATCTCATCTATGATAATTTTTAAGAGAAGCGGACTTGGAGAGCCCTTTGTCTGATACATTTTGGTTGATCTCGGCTGGGATCTGGGTGGCCGAGTATATATTTTCGATAGTTTTGATAAGGTTGTGTGGGATCTACCAATCATAAAGGAGATTTTTATTTTACAAAACTTCTGGATTCCTCCTGCGTCGGTTCTTGCTGAGTCGAAATTGTTGACGTTTCGCCAATCATCCGGTTGGCTGGCTTCTTTGTTTTGTAAAAAGTATTACAGTAGGCTGTGGAAGTTTCTTTGAAAAATTGAGATGTTATATATCTTTGAGCTGCGAATGCTTTTTTCGAGGTCTATGAAACGTATACGAGGTGTGTTCAAAAACTAAGGTAACTTTTAAGTTTTGTCAAAATCTTTCCAAACCGCGTTCCTTCGATGGATTCCTTGAGTTTTGGGAACAGGAAAAAGTCGCTTATCCGATGAATATGCTGGCTGAGGCATGATTGTGGTTTTGTTTTTGGCCAATAAGTTAGACACAAGCAACTATGAGTGAGCAGGTGCATTATGTTGATGTAAAATCCATAAATTGTTTTCCCACAATTCTGGACGTTTTCTTCGTATTGCTCCTCGCAAACGCCGCATAACTTCAAGGTAATACGCTTTATTGACCGTACAACCCTGTGGTAAGAACTCTTGACGTACTACGGCACGATAATTAAAGAAAACAATAAGCAAAAAATTGACATTTGATCGAACTTGATGCGCTTTTTTCGATCTTGGCGATTCTGGATTTTGGCTTCAACATTATAACAAAATACCCATGATTCGTCACCAGTTATGATCTTTTTGGTCATATCAGGATCACCAGTGACGTCGTTTAACAGCTCTTGAGCGACGCTCCTTCGACGGTCCTTTTGCTCAGAATTAAGCAGTTTCAGAACAAATTTTGCTCCTACACATTTCATGGCCAAAACTTCCGAAAACAACAGCGCCAGTGGCACTTAAAAACATTTTTTTTTGCTGAAAGTAGATTCACCATATACCGTTGTCAACATTTCAAGTGTTTTATGCAAATTCTTTGTTTCATTTTTTTGACAGCAGAAAATTGCCGTGGACACAAAACACGTCTAACTCTTCTGTCTCACAAATTAAGTAAAAGTGTAAACCGGCTGAAACTGTGAAACATATGTTAATGACATGTGTAACAACATAAAACATACGTTTCCCGCAAATTCACAAAAGTCAAAATTCGATAGATTTTCGATTTATTTGCCTTATGACAAAAACCGCATCGGTGCATGACCTGTCCTTTTTTAAACATAATCTTAGTATTTTTTTAGTGGTCATTAGTATGGGATTTTTATGATGCAGAAGAATCTTTCGAATCAGAAATGTTAGTTGTGATGTAAAGCTTGCTCCACATTTGAGTTCTTTCGTTTTGTGAGGGATAGTTCTACATCGCTGTCCTTTATTTCTGTAATCCCGTTGGTTGTTATTTCTGGTGTGTTCGCTTCATTTAAACCATTTTCTGCCCCATGTAGATCTGTAAGATATTCTATCCAAGTTTCTTTAGTAATTTGATTTATTCACTTCTTTTCGTTGGTTTCTGATTGGTCGGCACATTTGTTTTTGGAGCCCGTAACTTCTCAGTACCTTTCCTTCATTTGTCTAACCAGCCGCGATTTTTCGTTGCTAGTTATCTTATTATGTTGTTCTTAGTGCCGTATATTTTAGGTAATTTAACTTATTTTCTTTTCATTTTCCTTAACTTCTAGCCAAAACCATGGGGTTATTTGGTGTATTTTTGGGGTTATGACTATTTCTGGTACCTAGAACTTTTTTAGCAGCACTCATGATATTATTTTTTTAATTCTTCCCAGCTAGTGTTAATATTTTCCCCTTCAGTTATTGGATGTCTTCTTAGTCTTTCCCCAAGCCTTTTTGCTGAAGTGGTCTTATTGTTGGGTTCTCCAGCTACTCAATAGTGATTTTTTCTGTTTTCTGCATTGGATTTTTGCCTTTTTATGGTGTAATTTTAATTATTTTATGTTCTAGTAGTGTATCATGGTCGCTACCTAAATTAGGCGAGTTTAGTGTTCTGACGTCGAGGATATGTTCATCGATTTTCATGATTATCATGAATTTTAAATCATCTAAATTTTGTTTTTTTTCCTTATTCATTTTTGATTTACTTATCACGAGAGGAAAAATACAAATCTGTTTATTTGGCATATCAGGCTGATTTGGATTTGGAAAAGAAACTCCTAGAGTCATTTTGAGGAAAATGTAAATATCGAGCTCCAGTAAGATCTTGATTGAAGAAATAAGCTATTCAAAATTCAGGCCCAAACATTTATTTTTCTCTCGTCATCTTTCATCAGCTATTATTTGTATTACAATTTTGTTTATTTACCGTACTATTAAAAAAAACGCGATTTTATCACTAAACAATAATTGACGGTGAAAAAAATGGATTTAAGCTACTTGACAACCTCTAATAAAATGTTTAATCTTTAGTTTTTGGAACATCTGGTCGTAGACGAGCCATGTTTTTCGAAATTTTCTCTTAATTTTACTCACTTGAATCTCTTGATCTGGATCTTGAAGTGGGCCTTCGTCGATATTTTGCGTTAAACAAATTTTTACCTTTTTCTTGATCGTTCTGGTGCCGCTATATTCATTTTCTTTAGTGACAGAAATGTAATTATAAATATTTAAGAACTTTGCTGGTACTAACTGCTTACCTGTTTTTTTTAATGGTGTTCCATTTAAAAAAAGAAACTTGTTATTAATATCTACTTTTTAAGCCTCCTATTTTCTGCAAAACATTGTTTTTGTTTATAAAAACAGTTGTCACAAATTCGCTTCAATACAGTGTGTTAAAATTAAGAAAATTAGTTTTTGCTCAATAAAACTTTTATCGATTTTGTTAAAACTTAAGCAGATTTGGTTCTCGTAGTGCATGTGCAAGTTAATTCTGATAGAGCCAAATTATTATTTACAAATTCCTTATCTATTTTTGTTTTCAAGGCTGTTTTGACATTTTCATTAAAATCCTAAATGTGACTGTTTTAAAAGTTATTTTTAGTGTTTTTATATAAAACCCTTTTTAGTTGTCTTGGGTTGTTGTCTCTTATCTCAGTAAACAATTTCTCCAAATATTATGATAAGAATATTATAGCGATGAATGTTAGACATCAGGCTTTATTTTTATATATCAGAGTAGTAATATATATTTCAGTTTTAAATGCGTTCTAAAAGGTTCAGTTTAATTCTCGTTAATTCACCAGAAAAAACGCTAGAACTTTCCTTTCATCGGATAAAGTTTTGATAATAAAGAAGGTTTTGTTGCTTCTTTTTGATTGTTTTTTGAACTATGATCTATTAACCAACTATATAATTATTTTTTGTATTTTCCGAATTGTCGATCACTTTAATTGTATTTGGATTCCATTTTAAATATGCACACTATTTATGGGACAGTCCCTATAATATGCAAATATAACATAGATTGTTCATCTTGCTTCATCAGACTTCATACCTCATAAATGTCTATTTAATCAATGCAAGACAGCTGTCACTAACGATCGCGATTATATTACTTGGAATTAAGAGAGACAGAACCAATTATACTTGGCATTAATTGAACTTATCAAAATAAATAAGAACTAAAAGTTCAAGATTTTCACGAAATTATATATTTTTGCATGGCAAATGTCACACATTTGATAAAGACACGGTGTTGTCGAAACAATTGTCATGTAATAGTATATTAGGCAACAAGTGTGGTAAACGGCATTTGACTCACGAGTTTATTTGACACTAGCGGAGCGAGTTTTTAATAAACGAAGGGGTTTACCGAACGTGTTGTCGTTTTTCTACGACCCTTAGTTTTTGGGTCCATTTTCGCAAAACAACACTAACACATTCACTGACATGACCGTCAGAATTGACAAACGTCAAAATTTAAAGCGTGGGAAATATCTCCGAAAACATCCGATTACTCCCAAATCTGTGCAGTAAAATCCCGAAAATGTCCGAAGTGGCTCGGATTCATGGGAAACGAAACTGACGTGGTAAAGTGACCCTTCCCGCACGCTAGATTGCTGAGTAATTAGGTATTTTACAGACGGGAGTAGAAAAAAATATATAATTTTGTGAAAATCTGAACTTTTAGTTCTTATTTATTTTAATTAAAATTTTTTGTTTAATAAAAATTTTAATTTATTTTAATTAAATTAATTTAACTAGTATGTCCATATTCAGATATGTATTCATGTATTTTTTATGTAATAATAGATCAGGGTGTTCCTTATGATATGCGAATATTTAAGTAGGTGAATGAACATGAAAAAATTTATAATAATTTATTAAATATATTGTCCGAAAATGAAAACAAAACAAAAAACATAAAAAAAAGGTATCATATCGCATAAAATATAATTTGCCAAGAATAAATGTACAAGTAAACCACATTTAGTTTGTATTTACGATGTAACATATTCTTCATCAGAACCAAAATTGGAACATTAATAACATTTGGTGCTACTGTTGTATCAAGTGTATTTATTCTCTTTTCCCAGTATTCTGTATGTGATATACAACTGATCCAATTTTTTTTGTTAACTGTCTGGAGAGTTGCCTACCAAACGGATACTACTGCAGTATCATCGTGCCTTGCCTCACTTACAATATTTTTATTAAAAAATATTTTGCACCAATTCTATGGCATTAAACATACAATGGTAAGGCGGCAATTTTAAAGCTTCACGACCCATTTCAGCAATTATTTTATCTGTGGCATACGCAAGTTTATTTTGTAATTTTTGTCAAAATTCACATTTTAGACCATTTTCTGGTAAATAAAAATTCTACCCTGTTTTGTAGTGGAAAGTACTGTAATTATCTGGTAATTTTTGCTGTCTGTGTTGAGTGTACGACACTCTTCCGTAATAGACAAAGGTAGAACATTGGCAGGTAAATGGTTGGGTTTTGCCGTTCTTCGCAAATCCTACCAATTATATTTACAAATCTTCTGGATTTCTCCTGCGTGGGTTGTTGTTGAATCGAACTTGCCCCTACTTTAGCTCCGCCCTGTCTAACAATATATGAGCAGGTACAGAGCAGAATGCGAGCCAGTTTCAGTTAAGCTGTGAATCAAGTTCGATTCATCAACAATCGAATGCAGAAGATTTGTAAATAGTAATATGTAAATACTTTTGAAAAGTAACTGGACCACCATTTCTTAATTTGTTTTTGCTAAAATCACTTCCTTCTGTGATAGCAACGGGTTTCGCCACCCCGTTTGGTTCTACCGCGCCGACATCATCAGCTGGTTTTAGTTTCGGTACAAATTCGTTTGGACAGACACAACCAGCTCCGGCATTTGGGTCTACATTCGGAGCTACAAATACTTCCGGGGCTTTTGGTGCCACATCGTTTGGAGCGCCCGTATCCGGGACGTCAACTTTCGGAAGCACATTCGGAACTCCTGCGTCGACGAGCTCAGTGTTTGGAACAGGATTTGGTGCTCAACCACAGGGTTCAGGTAAAATTAAAACCCCGAAGAGATTCAAATGAGTCGATTAAATATTTGTGGTATTATAGGACTTTTTGGGGCAGCTGCGTCAAAACCGGGTGTGTTTGGGGCCCCCGCGACTTCCACTCCCAGTATCTTTGGTACTGGCACCACAGTCACACCCAATTTATTTGGTGCGCCGCAGTCTACCCAGGCAACTCCAAGCCTCTTTGGTAAGAAAGTATAAACTCGGGACCTTAGATAAGAAAATACTTTTTCTATTACTGATTGCTGTTCATTGCATAAAAAAGGTTCCTGTAGAAATTGATATAGATTTATCCATATAGCTACTAGAGATATAGAGGCCCTCCCTATGTCGATAATAAGTTTTAACACGGCATTTTTTTATAGAATGTTTTATAGTAGTGTTTTCTTATCAATTTTTACCATAGTTGGGCCCCTATATTATAGGTTGGTTCAGCTTGTTCAGTCCTTGTACTCAGAATATACATACCGGGTGACACAAGAAAGTGGGAACACTCTATAACTTTTAAACGGCTTCAGATAGCGATTTGAAATTTGGAAGGGTTAATATATGCTGAACGTGCATTTTTTTGACAATATGTGGTTGCACTTCCCGTTTGATCGGAAACGACATTATAAGGAGTGTTGTGAATGGACTTCACTCATAAGGGTCTACATCCCAATGCAGGATTTTAAGAAAAAGCATACGTAAAAGTATAAAACTCTTGAATTTGCCCATTTGTTCTATGATGTTTATTGCTTGTTGTTATGGTATTTGCTAGGCGGTTTCGGTTTCGTTTAAAAATTAAATTGATTTATTGATATAGGGAATTTTTTAAATATTTATGTTGGATACTAGGAATAAAAGACTTTAAAGAAGCCCCTATATATATATATATATATATATATATATATATATATATATATATATATATATATATATATATATATATATATATATATATATATATATATATTTATTTTAAACAGTTTATTATTAAACAAAGCAAAACGCGCAAAATTAAACATTTCTAACCCTAAGCAGCATCTACAAATTTATTTTATGAATTCGAATCACATTTTGTTTCCCTTAACGCCATCATGTTCTTCTTGTGTTCTAATAAAGATCTAATTCTAAGATCATGATCGACAATTTCTCAGAAAAGGTTCATGCTGATTTAAGTTTCTCATTAAAAAATATTAAGACTCTTATACTTCGCCTTGCCTCACTCGTACGAGATTGCCGTGTGGGGTATGCTAGAAAGATAAGTTTAAATATCCAAAAAACTATTCAGAAAGCTTTTGTCAGAGCAATTAAGTTCAAATCCAGGCCTTTTCACATTCATGTACTCTTTGGTTCGATTAATATACTAAAAATTTCAAAGATATAGAGTGTGTCCTTGTTTGTAAGCATTTTAGAGATTTGGTTAATTCATGCATGAAAAACTTAATGTTCACACAAAATTCAAATTATATTCAGGAACGCACCAAGAGTTCGCACTGAATCATTGCTAAAAAAAATAAATTTAATATTAAACTATTAGATAGCAATAGCTTAGTTATATATGGGCCCATGAAGGGCGTATTTCAAAATTATTTTCAAATTTATAGGATGGCTCAAAAAGGTACATATCAAAGTTATATTTTTTATATCTTTAGTTACTATAGTCCAAATAAAAGTAGCTGCTCATAATTATAATTACTGCTTGGCTGGAAAGTTAATTACCACATTAAAGTTTTACTTCGATATTGTACAGAGTGGTGAAAAAAAATTGCCTAAAAATTGCGCACACATTTTATTAAGTAACTTCTCAAAGCTAAACGGGATATCCCTGATAGTCGGGACTTGTTGTTAGGTCTGGAGACATCCCTAGCGAATTCTGTGAACCTCCTCATCCTATGAACATTGCCTGTCTAACTTGTTTCTAACATGTCTATCAAAGTGTGGAGGTGCACCATCTAGCTGTTTCCACATCTGCTGACGAATATTAGGAGGTATAGTTTTCAACAGTATAGGCAAATTATTGTCCTTTAAAAATGTGGTGTGCTGCCGATCAGTGATTCTAAAAATATTATAATTGTTGTCACTGTAGTAAGGAAAGTTCTCGCTATCAATTAATCGATTGTTATGAAAAGTTGTCTCATTGGAAAAAAAATCGTCATTTTTTAAACTTCTGTTGATGGAGTTGAATATCATACGGGTAAAATTTGTTTTTTTGTTTTAATTAATCTTTGGAAGCTCTGTCTGTTTATTCCAGTTGCTTCATATATTTTTTGGTGACTTGTGTGACCTGAGTTTCTAAACTCAAATGTTCGTTTTCCTCATTTTCTTTAATCGGTTTTTGTTGTTCTGACTTATTATAAAACAAACTGTCTGTTCTGCGAAAGAGCTGCAACAATTTTTCCAATAAAAGCTTATTATTAAGGGGTCTGTTGATACGAATAAACACTTTTCTTTTCACTTGTGTGTTGTATTATGGTTTCGATGAATACTTAAAATTGGTTGTAGCCAATGGAAAGTTACATATGTCATCTCTACAAAGCTTTTTATTTCTACTCATTGTGTACCACCATTTTATACTCACTGTCCCTTAGAACCTATAACTTCCTTATTGGTAACATAAATCTTAAAAAAATGTTCCTACATGGCTACTAATACATCACCCATTACCAAAATCTTATCAATTCGTTCTACGTGAGGGAAGTTCTGCTTTTAAATAATTAAACTGTAACAATCTTTTTTTCATCTGATCTTTGATTAATAAGTAGGGTTACTGTAAAGTTATTATGTGTTTTAAAGTATTATTTAAAGTTATTTAGGCCAAAATCTATTATTACATTTAAGAAGTTATTTAATAAAATGTACCCCAAATGCTGGGACAACTGTTTTCACCACTCTGTATAATATTGAAGTAAAACTTTTATGTAATATTTAACTTTAACTTTTCAGTTCAGGAGTAAATTGATTTATGAGCAGCTAGTCACATGTTACAGGGTGTAAACAATTTATAAATTGTGTTTTTTTTTTTAATTTCCCAAATTTTCCCTGAAACGGTCGGTATTATTGGTATTGGTATAAAAGGGGGGCGCCACCACGGGCTCCCAAGCACTTAGGCCACCAGAAACGGTCGGTATAGAAGAATTAGTAACTTTGCTTTACCAGCACATATACCAATAAACAGAGGAGTTAGGCAGGAAGATGCAATGTCCTCGAAACTTTTCAGTATGGCATTGGATAACATATTCAAAAATCTAAATTGGGACGGATAAGGAATCAATATTTGCAGACTTGCATGGGTAGCATTTGGAAAGCTAGGTTTTATCCTAAAGGACAAAAAATACCTTAAAACCAGAGTTTTTAATCAATGTGTACTCACATATGGGGCAAAAGTGTGAATATTTACAAAAGATAATGTCAACAAAATAAACCAAAAAGTGCGAAGAAAAGATTTATGCCAGTCATAAAATTAAAGGATTAATAAAGATACCATGAAGATCATGGGAAAATAAAAGAAAAAGAAGGGTCCGAGCTGGATAAAAATAGCAAGGGATCGCGAAGAATGGAGATAGATAGGGGAAGCCTATATTTAATATTGGACGGAAGAGATGTTTATTTGGTCTATAGTAACTAAAAATATAAAAAAAACATGTAGGGCGTTCCATAAGAAAAAATATAACTTGGATATGTAGCCCACCAGCCCATTAAAAAAAAAATGTCCTTTAGGGCCCCACACTGTGCTACAAGTTTGTCCCCAACTCTTTTTATTTCTCGTACACAAGTCAAGGCGAATATATACACCACATTGTAAATGTAAATTCTTCTACTAGTTATGTATCCCTATGTCTGCACACAAGTGTGCAGAGCTTTGTAGACATATGGATCACTAGGTACAATAAAAGTAAGATTTGCAGTATTTTGGGTAGTCCAACAAACCTAATAATGCAATGAAAATCTCAAATTCGCGAAATTGTTGTAGTTAGGTCATCATCATAATACAATATATATAATAATTGCTCAGGGAATACTTTGACAACAACTCCGTCGTTATTCGGGAGTGGTACAAGTACCACTCCCTCGATGTTTGGAAGTTCATTTGGACAGCCTTCAGCCACAACAACTCCCTCATTGTTTGGCACGTCAACGAATGTCGCTCCATTCGGGAGTGGTGGTTTGTTTGGCACAACAACTAGTGCGCCATCTTTGTTTGGCTCCTCCGCCTTTGGAACCACTACAACCTCAACAACAGCCGGTGGTTTTGGTTCTTTTGGTACTGGAGCAAGTAGTTTTGGCGGTTTTACTTCTTCCACAGGTCAAACTAGTATTTTCGGGCCAAAGCCTCTAACGGGTTTGTTGTTTCGAAGGCAATCGAAGAAATTTGAAATAATTTTCGGTCTATATTTTAGGGCTGCAATCGCAGCAGCAGGGGGTGGTTGATAAAAATCAGTTGGTTGTAGCATCCGTTTACGCCATAAATGTCTTCAACGATGAACGTGATGATGTTTTGAAAAAGTGGAATATGTTACAAGCCTGTTGGGGAAGTGGTAAAGGTTACTACAATTCGACCCAGCCTCCTGTCGAATATGTGCCGCAAAATCCATTTTATAGATTTAAAGCAATCGGATACAATGCAATTCCCGAACAGGACAACTCCGAAGGCATTGTCAGACTGGTTTTCAATAAGAAAATTACGGAATTGCGGTAATCGATTTTGATCGATATTTGTTCGATGTAGCCACGTTTTTTTTTTTTTTCAGAAGTCAGCAAGACTCATTAAAAACCGGTCTATTAGGCGTTCTTGGAAATAGACCGAATTTATCAGTTGAAATCATCCTGATTAAGGCCGTATCGAGTGATCAGACGGAAGTGAAAATTTCGGTCTCGGAAAAAGGCGTTACCGGCAATTGTAGGAGAATTCCCGCGACCGACTTGGCGGCGTTTTTGATTCAACCTTCCCAGAAACAACAGCTGACAAATGTCGGCGTAACGTCGATTTCTCCCTACGTAACCCCCACAAAGGCAGAGTTGGAGGAGTATTTGAAACAAACTCCCCCAGGTAAGATGCGATTATGCACATATTGGTGTTCATTTTTCAATTAAACTTCCACAAATACTATATAGAAATCTTATTGTTGTCATTTCGCAAATCATCCTCTTCGCTTCTTGAGACATCACACCGGTTTGTATTTATCATATCAATCATGGTTTGGTGGCGCTGAAAATTCAGGATAACGGCATTTCTTTGCTCATTTTTATAAAATTACGATTTCTTAAAGTTTCTTTCGAAGATCTTTATGCCAAATATTGCTCAAAGGGTCTCTGGGGATGCCCAATTGGCGTGGTTAAAATTCCCCAAGTCTTCACTAAATAAATAACAGCTTCATTTTTGACATTTTGTCATTTGACAGTCTATTTACTTTCTAGTCTTAAATTTTCCCTCCCTATATGTTGTTTAGGGGGCGGAGCTAAATGAAAGACATAAACATTGGTTTGAATTTAATTTTGCTTTGGAAGAAAGATTGTGATTACAATGCAAGAATTTTAGTTTGGTTGAATAACATGTGATGCCCACTTTCATAATTGTGTTGCTGCTGATCAGTTTATTTGTTGTAATATTTAGGCCCTTTCATGTTCCTTTAGCATAGTGGTTATTTTTCGTCCTGTCCTTCCAAAACTCTGCGTATCTCAAATGGAAGATGTTGATAGATGTTTGGACAAGGCGGTTTTAAATGTTAGTAAGGACCACAGTGGTAAGTGTGGGGTTGCTATTGGACTCATTTCTTTCGAGAGGTTTCTGGTGGAGGTGTATTTTCGAATGAAATGCTTAATATCTCTAATGTAGAAATTATTGCGAAAAGAGCAGGTGTTAGATGTCTTAATTTTGGGTTCACTGATTTGGGTTAAAATATTTTAAGGCTCTGTAAACTAGAGAGTGCCACTGAATTATGCAAACATGCAAAATATTTATTCTGGACTGAGATTATATCATTGGCTAAAGGTTCTATCTGGCAAATCTTTTACTATTATATCCTTCAATGATCATAAAATTTAGCTAATGATTAGAACGATGTGATGATAACAGATGTCTTTTGTGCGGCGTTATTTATTAAAACTAAATGCGAAAAAATAAAATTTTGAACCATATTAAAGTTTTGTTAATTGAAAGCCTTGGTGCAACAGTGTGATAAGCCACATTTGCTAAAATTTTGAGGAAAGTATTTCAACCGTGTAGTCTGAATCTGTAGAATGCATGCATTATTAAAATCACTCTCATTGTGTAAATTATTTTCGGAATCACTGTTTTAAACACATTTCGTTTTACGTTCCTAAAACGACTTTCTTCTCGCTTCCATAATGGATTGTAGCTTGTCGCGTTTCTTGTCCGAAACGTCAACAAGTGCGGGAGCAACAATATGAAACATGGTGGCATCTTTTGGAAAAATACCAAAGGTCCTATGTAGAATAATATCTTAGAAAAAAAAGGAATTTTTAATGTAAATAATTCATTTTTCAAGTGTCATACTATTGAAATTAAATTAAAATAAAAAAAAAATTGATGTGACAATGCTCTAAGGCATCTTGTTCATGGATTTATAAGTGGAAACTGAATGACCCAATGTTAATGTTTTGTTTATTATGTAATTACGCTTTATTTGGTCATTGTTTTATAAGGCAATTCGGCCAGTTTACAACCAGGTTTTAAACCTTTTAGGCACTCAATGCTCCCTCCCGGTAGAAATTGAACCCACAACTTCCGGCAAGTTGAGTTGGCAGGTCTAACACTTCGTCAACAGAGTTATCCTCTAGCTATATTCTTGTAAATAGAAAATTAGACCTAACATTGGGTCATTGGGTTAATAGGAAACCTACGCGCACAGCCTCATACCTTAATTATCACATCAGCATCCAGCCCAAGAATCATCTATTTTCTTTACAGAGCCGTAAAACTCTCAACCCGAGTCATTGAACCTAGAATTAAAACACCTAATATCTGTTCTTTCAAATAATTTTCACATTAGGGATGTTAAATTTTCCCTTACAAAACACACTTCACCACAACCTCCCAAAGAAAGTAAATCCCAAAGCAAGCCACCGTGATTCTTCCTTACACCCAAAATATTACTGACCCTATAACAAAAGTTCTGAATAAATATAATGTTACAACCAGATTTACCATTTGTCCAAAAATCTCTCAACATCTTCGATTCATCAAAGGCAACATTCCATTTGAGGCATCAGGAGTTTACAACATTCCATGTATATGCAGCAAGGAATATAATGGAGAGACTCGGATGAACTAGATCAACTAGGATAAAAAAACATAAAAGAGTCTTCTTAAGTCTACGACAACTCATTGGCGTAGGAGGAGGCTAGGAGATTTGTAAATAGCACATGCGGTTGTTTTAGGAATTGATCAGCAAATGTGGCAGGCGGCCATTCAGGACAATCCGAACCCGAGAAAGTACATTCCGGTACCGATAAATGGATTTTCCGATCTTCGAGCTCGAATGTTACATCAAGAATACCAGACCGGACTTCACCAGGCATTTCTAGACAAGGTTAACAGGGAAATTACTGAACTCAAAACGAAACACGCAGCTTCAGTCGCCCACATTGCAGAGTTAAAACAGAAATATTTGGATCTGCAGCACAGGATACTGAGAGTGAGTGCCGCTTATTGACATTTTTTTCGTTTTAATTAGTTTGTTGGTCTAGGTTTTAGTCAAACAAGAGAGTATTAGGAAAGTGGGTATTGCCATTCAACCGGCGGAAGAATTGTTAAGAGGCAGGTTAGAAGTAATGCATGCCCAGTTAAATTTGCCAAAACAATTTAAGGTAAGCTGCTTATAATAATAATAATAATATTTACAAAAATTGCACAATAAAATCGCCAAAATGTATAAATAATTGAAAAAAAAAACAGGACGATTGGCAATATGCGTACCATTAAAATTCAAAATTGAAAAGAGTAAGAGTATTTGTGCTGTTAGTATAGGATCACTTCTAATATGCGCCCCTTTCAAAAAAAGTTGGGTTGTGTCAAGGAATACTGTTCCTGGTAACAGTCGTCATAGAAAGTCAGATTTGTTGTTAAAGAGACTAGAATTTTTCTTCAGGAACATACAGAGAATATAGACAAGGAATAGGATGCCTAGAGTATTACAATACGGTTTGCAGGAAGTGCTGGGATGCAGCTCGAGAATGCACCTAATAAATCTTTTCTGGGTTTTAAAAACGTTGATTGCATGTTTGAAAGAACAGCATCCCATGTGAAATCTGGACACAAAATTAAATACTTTTTATACTGTCTGTGAAAAGCGACTGTCTAAGCCTGCGAAAAAAGCACAAAAACTGTTTTAGACGTGACCTTCAAGAAAACAATGAGAGCTGTTTTGTGTGTGTTCAACCTCAGAGTTTTGCTTACACCACTCTTCCATACATTCCACGACAATCGTACAGACAGGAAATATTTTGAGAATAAAAAAAATTATTTTTACTAAACTTCTGGATTCCTGCTGCGTCGGTTTTTGCTGAGTCGAAATTGCTGACGTTTCGCCAACCATCCTGTTGGCTCCTTCAGAGCTTGACTGAAACTGGCTCGTATTTTACTCTGTATCTGCTAATGAGGGGCATAAACACCGTCTCAGATGACTGAATCCTAAATTGGTGACAGGCAGAGACCTGAGTCGCGGTTAATATTGTTAGGTTGTTTATAGATTTCTATAGACTTTCGGATTTTTCGTCTATAGAAGAACTGATTGCATGCAAGAATTTTAGTTTTATCGAATAAAATGTTATGTCCGGTTTCATGAGTGTGTTCGGCATCAGCTGATGAGTTTATTTGTCTCAGTCTTAAGGCTCTTTCGTGTTTTTTGAGCCTAGTTGATATTTTTCGTCCGGTCTCTCCAATGTATTCTTTGCCGCATATTCATGGAATGCTGTAAACTCGTGGCATCTCAAATGGAATTTTGTCTTTGACGGACCGAAGATGTTGAGAGATTTTTGGACAAGTGGTAAATCTGGTTTTGACGTTATATTTCATTAGAACTTTTGATATGTGGTCAGTGATGTTTTGAATGTAAGGAAGGACGACAGTGGCAAGTGACAAGACAGTGACAAGGAGGAATCCAGAAGTTTTTAAAAAGTATTACAGTAGCCTGTGAAAGTTTCTTTGAAAAATTAATAAAAAAAATTACTAATATAGGAACATACAGTACGGATTGGTAGCTTACAGACAGAGGAACAGAGTAGGCTTCACGCCTCTATTTATTCTCTAATAAAAAGTCCCAAAACTAGTTAATCAGATCGAGATAGAGTGCGAGTAATTTCAGAATGGGACAGCATATAGCAATTGCTATTGTTCGGTTGCGATCGGCCTGTGCGGTTTCCTAGGCAATTACTGAGTGTCTTCGCTTTCCAGTAGTAGGATGTTTCTATTTTGTGTTCTTGTTTATGCGTGTTTATGCTATAGGGCTATGTTGGTTGATTTTTAAATATTTTGCAATTTATTATTCTTATACCTCTACGCAATTTTTACAAATATGGCTCCAAAAAAACTGGAAAGTGCTTCATTAAATATGAATTCTGCATCGCCACTGGCCCCAGCTGCAAGCGATCGAGTTAATTGGGGTTCGGGGACGCCTTCAATCGGTCACGTAATATAATAATATAATTTTGAAATTACGTTCACTCTAACAATTGGCCTTTAATCAGATGATTTTTATGAGGCTCAATGTTATGTTTAACCAAATAGACATTATGTCCATGAATATCAGAATTTGTGTTTGTGGATGAAAACTGGTGGGTTCAGTAAGACCGACCGACCATCATCCATAGATTGTACCTTTTAAAGATCCCCCTACATTTAGTTTTTGGAAAGTACGTTACCTTCTAGTCTTATACTTAGGAAATGGTGTTGGTGTAATTTGGTGGGCCTCACAATCAAAAATGAAAGGATAAGGCTGCCAATTTTTTGTGAAGGTGTCACAAATAAAAATGGATTGATTCAATGACTTTCCAATGAGGGCACACTGATTTGCTATGAGTTTATGGAAATATGACAGTAGTTCAATTAAAGTTATTTTATAAATGAATTTGTGGTTGTGCTAGGCATTAAATGCACACTGATAATACACGAAGGTTTGACCTATATAGCTATTAGATAACATATTAAAAATTGATGCCCCGCAAGGCGGCATTTTTATTTTCGTAGAAAAGGTAACGATTTTCCGCGCATGCCTCTACATTTCATCCACTAACCTGTACTGTGCACCAGTTTGTTTTTAAAAAACGATTGCCACACACACTTTTTTTTTCCAAAACATGGTAACAAGATCTAGAAATATTGGAGAAAACACACACATGATCTGTTAGGGGCCAAGTTGTTTGTTGAATGCTTCGAAGTCATTGGTTGAAAACCAGATTTTAACTCTCGCTCATATACACCTTCTCAAAAATGTTTTTCATTGTTGCTTAACAAGTTCCTGTATTATCGGCATAGGCAGAGCCTCCTTTATATCTCTAGTAGCTATATGGTTTGACCAATAAAGTATATTAGGAAAACGGGCATCTTTTTTTAAAAATCTTACAACAAACCCAATAACATTATTCATAGACATACAGGGTGTTCCATTAAAAAAAAACCTCAAAGCCCTGGTCCAAGCAGTTTTCATCTCTCGATAAGTTAGTGCAAAATGGGTTATGAAACCCGCAACACGCTAGCTTTATTAATAAGAAAGATACGCCTTAAAACCATCAAAAACGGAATACACTGTACAGGGTGACCGAAATGAGGTTCCCTACCCCCTTAACTTAGAAACTACAAAGATTTAAAACGCTAAATAGAAAACTTGTATCCAGATATTTTAATTTTTCTTATATACAGGGTGTTACGTTCACGTGCGGTAAATAGCAGTTTTCTTATTTCACATAGAACAAACCCTGTATATTATTGCATTTTTTGATTCTCCTAGAAATTGTAGATATATTTCATTTCCTATGTATATAGTATCTAGCCGTTTTCTATAAATCTTGAAATTTATGTCAAGCTTCATGTTTGCAGGGGTAAAATAATTAACAACTTTTCGTATAAGGGAGCCTTGATTATTTGCTTTTTATGCTAATTAAGTTTTTTAAAATGAAGGTAAAAATTAAATTATAATAAAACGTAAAAATCTATTTTTTCAAATGGAAACCCGCCCTTATTAAAAATTAAGGGCAACACGGAAACTCCACTATACAAAACACCATCTGTTTCCCTGTCAGTTTGACACAAGTTTTCTGTTCCTTGATTTTTGGATTATTGTTTGTAGTTTTTGAGTTAAGTTAATGGCGCAGTTCATATTTGCATTATTAAACAACTTTGGAAGCTACAGGATGATTTCAAGGTCAATGCGTTTTTGAGGGTACTTAAACATAAAAACGGGTTTTGATTGATATTTTGATGTAAATTTTATTGGAATGAGGATAACAGATGTGTGAGTTATGAGGTTCTTTTCAATTTTCGATTTTTTCGAGTTAACAATAGGTACTTAGTAACAATTATAGCAATAGAATATATATTTTATTTCGCAAAAACATTGTAGTTGACGATAAATGGATGGCAACAGTCATTTATTTATTTATTAACCAAATGTGTACCACTTATTAGTCCGAGAAAAGTGTATCGACCTTACCCTATTGGACGTAATATCATGGCCGAACGCTTTTGAAGCGAAATCTTGTAGTTTTTCGAAAATTCCCATATTCAGTCTATCGCACTTTGAATGGTAGCAGACCCAATCCACCTACTATACTTAATTAAAATTTCTATTTTTGTTAGAAAAAACTGCCATAGATAAATTTTCCTACTTAGCCTTTAATAAGTTTCAAAAGTAATATGGCATAGTGGTTATTTATGTGATAACTTTTGATAACAGTTGCATGCACATGCACATTAAAATTTTACCTTGAAACTTTTACTATTTATTGTAACAGAAAAAACGGTCCGAGAAACTGCCTTTACAGTGTGTTTGAAGTAGAAGTTCTATTAATTTCGTATTAAAAGTTGTTCAATATTTTTAATAATGGACACTTTGTGCACTGGTTTTATTTAACTTAATGTTATCCACGAGTCTCCTGT